ATTGTAATTTTATGTTGCTGAATGACAATAAAGATTATTATTATTATTATTATTATTATTATTATTTATTAATGATACTTTGTAACTACAAATAATAGTATGGGTAGCCGAGTGACTGTTGTGCTGCCCTACGTTATGGTTGCTGGATTGATCCCGTAATAAGATCGATTCTGAACCTAAATACCTAGATTGTCAATTAACGAAGTTGCTATGTTTTACAAAAAGGTCATGTTAGGATGGTGACATTATGCTATATGTAGTTTTCGTAGGGTGCGTGGAATGGAGTCTAGCGGTACTCACCTTCTATAGGAATTGAGCGTTGCGTGGTGCACAACGTCTATAAGCAGGCTTTTGATACCTTTTGAAGTAAATTGTGAGAACAGGGAGATAGAATTAATTAACAAATTGTTTTATAATTACAATTAAACTTTGGAGTAATTTTACAGAATTTCACTTTAACAATAAAAGACAGGGATCCTCATTCTTGCTGCTTCTTATTTAAAATAAATTCTGCTTTCTAAATGAGTTTACATGTTAAATAAAAGAAAACTATCTGGAAGATGCATTGACAGAAGGTGTAAAATTCAACTTGTCAATGGTGTTGGCAGTTTTTGTCGTTGTTGTTTAGAACTTACATTGAATAAATATTAGGCTATACATGATAATAATATGCAGTAATGACATGATGCGTTAATATACTAGCAGCTTAAAATATATGCCTTAAATTTCCAGTTTTGACTAATGAATATTTTTTTTTACGAATATAAAATATATTTATAAATGGGAACAGTTAATAAAAAATAAAGACTGCAAAACTAAAATTTATTTCCATTTAATTTTGGAATAAATTAATTTCAACAACAGTTACATGACTTTCATTGCTTACTGACCTGCTACAACAAATACAGTTGCCAGAGACAGTGGATTTATATCAAGTCTATTTCTGCAGTCAGTGAACGCTGTACCATCAGATTGGCAGCCTGTCAAAGAAACTGGCCTACCTCTCGATCAACCTGTCTAGAGAGGAATGTTTTAAGTTGTCTGACCTGCAAACCGTGTCGGGTGTTGAAAGTGTTGATTTAATGTTACTCATCATACATCTATGGTTGAATTGGATTTGTCACAGGTGTGACTGTTCGGCCGTAAAATTTGTCGTTTGCTTAGCACCACCCGGAAGAACATCTTAAGGAGTTTTTGCCTCGGGCGCAAACATCATCACATGTTAAAGAATCTTTTTAAATGTATAGGTACTTGATTCTTACTTACTTACTTAACTTGATACTTACCTACTTTACTTGATACTTACCTACTTTACTTGATACTTACCTACTTTACTTGATACTTACCCACTTTACTTGATACTTGTAACTCTCCCACTGGAAGGTCTGGTGTGCCGTGGTCGTCAATGTGTTGTTGGCCTGATGATTGAAAAAGTCTCTTGAGAAGGAATTGTTTTAGTTTTGATTTCGAGGCTTTTTCGTCTACAATACTTCTTATTTCTTTTGGAACCTGGTTGAATACCTTTGTACACATGAATCTTACCCCATTTTTCTCTAGGCTTGATGTTAATAGGCTTATTGTTTAGAAAATTGGTGCCAAACTAAACAGGTGTATTTTCTGTTTGCCTTGGCAAACTCTGCTGTTAATGCTAACAATGGATGGATTATCTTTATAAGTTTGTTTTTATTTGATTATTTTGATTTGATTAGACTACTTGATTAACTGTAACAGACTTATTAAATGGGTACCAAACAGCAATAAATAGCCTTTTCTGTGTCGGAAATTACTCAAATGGGAACATCGTGCAGCCTGCTTCAACAAAATTGCCAAAAATATTTTAGTAAGGATCCTCATCATGAGAACGTTTTGTGTCCGAACAGCTCCAGTCAAGCCAACTCCAACACACATAACCCCTTTGTATTGCATTAAAGTAGCCATTCCTTAAAGTCTGTCACAGTTAATCACATAGCAAAGACAAAACAACCAAATCAAAACTAACAAACCTATACCATCCATTGTTGACATCAATCAGCTGTTGTTCAAGGCAAACGGAAAATATACTTCTGATAAGTTTTGCACCATTATTTTGTTAACGCCCAGTAAGTGAATGTATGTAATCTATAATATTAAAACGAAACAGTGTTTTTTTATTTCACGATTCTGAATCAACCACTCGACGGATTTTCATGATTTTTGTGTTGAAAGAAAGATAATTTTGAGAACTAGGGAATGTCGAAGCCAAAAATTTAGTTTAGGGTCCCAGTTTTTTAGAAATTAAGTTTTAATTTTTAAAAAGTCTAGCAGCCGACGCTAAGATTCTAAACTAGCTTTTGGCATAAAATAATTTGCTTAACATAACAGCTGTAAACATTCAGCTTTTGTGTCACAAATTCAGCATTTGGATAAAAATGTAAAGACATACTTAGGGTTGACGTATTTATACTATGTGTAATGCTAATCATTGATACGTTCAATTCTTCTGTAAGAGGATGACAGATTAATTAAACTATACATAGTAAAATACTAGGATGTTCAAATTATTTTTTAAAGCAATCTTTGTAATCTTCGATTTGTTTTAGAGCAATATAATTTGTTTAAACTAACAGCTGGTTAAATATAAACTATGGAACTATGAGGTTATTTTATTTACTCTTATTTTGTCATTGATTATAGGAAATAAGTAAGATTAGTAGAGATAATTAGACAACAGTTTAAAATAGTTTAGACCAAAATTAATTAAACCACAGTACAAATCGAGGCTCTGTACACGAGTCTTAATAAAAAAGGATAAATGCAAATTATTTTACTACTCCACTTTTCAAGGAAAGAAATAGAAAAATAACAATGTTTACATGTTTTAATTCTTCATGGTAGCTTTTTGTTTACAATTAATGTTAGTCTGCTTTAACTTTGTTTGGATTAGTCCCGGAAATATTGATGTCATAAAAAGATCAAGAATAACCAGGAATCGCGATTTTAAATTACCACCACAACCTCAGCCGGGTTTTATACAAAGATAAACAGATGGATGACATAGATTGAACACAACGTCAACATTGACCTAGGATACTGCAATTAGACAAACCATCCTTTTATGAAATCGTGTTCAGTTGTGGTTACGTTTGGGGGTGCCTATATCAGCGCCCCCAAACGTGAAAATATCACTTATATTTCAACTATGAATATATTGTAGTTTAAATTAACTAATATGGGAAATTACGATGTAGCCTACATTTATTCAATGAGGGTGGGTAATTATCAAGGAAAGAACTGACAACGGTATGGATAATAAACATTGACAATTGATAATAAACATTGACAATTACGTCATTAGCTTTACTAGCGTGTTTATTTTTTATATTCCTGCTACATGAGACCAGTTTTTTTTTTCAAATGAATGTTATTTGAACCAAACAGCTGTTTCAAAACAAACTGTTATTGTTTTTACTTTTCTTTGTTTACACTTTTTTATTTAGCAATTAATGCAGTAAAATTGATATAAAGGATAGGTGTGACGATTAGTTTTGATGTTAGGACACCAAAGTTAAATTATGTGTACTAACTGGAAATTGTGTATAGTAGTTGTATTGTGGTGATAATAATTATGGAAGAGGCAGGTATGCTATGGAAGGTGGTATCGTTGACTAGGTCTATACACTTCTCAATTGACTATTACTCTCTCCACTGTAGGCTACTTATAATCAGTGTGCGAATCGGCTGCAAATCTCATTTCAACGCTTTTCACATCGTAAAAATTGCGGAATTTTGCTGTTTTATTGTAAAATTATTGGATTTAAAATGCATATCGTATAGGCCTATGATGGAATAAAAACATATTTGGTCACACAACATTTGTTTACAAGACGATTTTTCACATTAAAACTGCAAGAAACTTTGTCTTTATATGTGTAAACTAGCTGATCTGAATTATACACGGTTTTAACTGACTACTGAATTCCCGTACGTAGGACGGGCTAACACCTTGTTTTATTTAAAATAATAATTTTTTATTCTCACTTGACACACTTAAACTATACCTTCAGCCATATCTAAAATGGTGGCAGTGTATAAAATAAATTATTTTTAGCTATTTTTTTGTAATGTAATAATTGAAAAATGGTTGTTTTCAAAGACTAAAATATGTTTATGTGTGAAATTACCTACCATGTTTGTTAACTAACCCAGTCCAGTGAAATATTACCCATGACACTACAGCTGATTTCATGTTGATTGGCCTAGAAAAGAGTATCACACATGCCAAATGGTTACAGCAGAACCTTGCTTGATAAGATAAAAGGTCATAAACGAAACATCATTAGTTGTTTACTGACACATTCAAAATAATTATTTTGTATTGCAATTTGTTGGGTTTTCTGCAATTTTACATCTGCATTTTATTTTCTATAAATTTTAAGCCAAAGTTTTGTCATATGAACACATGTACTATTGTTAGAGAATGTATACAGTAGCTTAATTTAATCATAAATTAACTTGCTTTTTAGTTCAAAATCATCAGAGAATGTGAACAAAGAAAACTTAAACTCCACCGACTTGTTTATTTAGTTGAACCGATTCTCAATCAAACGACATTGTAATCAACAAGCTCAAACAAGACAAACAAAATTCTCAACGTTTGCCGCTTGTTTAGAACTGATTTAAGTTTTCTTCGTAGATTTAATGAAAATAAATCTTGAATACATCTTGTTTGCAATGGAGTTGGAATACATTACGTTGAATCATTTTTTTTCTAAATAAACCTTAAGGATGATAAATTGTTGTCCTAGTTTATACAAAGTTGTAAGTTTAAAAAAGAGCTATTAATATCATTGTTTTGCTGTTTTTTACCAAAACATTTTTGTTGGGAAACTTTGATGGTATAATTAGTTAAAAATAATTGTAGATTGTTCTTGAAGAAAGAAAAGTGTGATAAAATAATAATAAAAAGTAAATTTTACAGAGTATATAATTTTTGAAAATAATAATGTTTATGTTTGTTTCAGAAACCATTTCTGGCCAGCGCACAAGAAGATGACCCCACATTCACAGCGGACGGCTACGTCGCACTGGGAATTCTTTACCTCTTCTTCGGTATCTTCCTATGGGTCGCCCCGAGCATAATCAGCATGATCGGACCCAGAGCTGCACTGGCCGTTAGCTCCCTCGGATATAGGTAATAGGTAATGCTGACTTCTTACCCCCTCCCCCTCCCTTCCTCCAGTCATACCTGTGCCTGTCCTTTACATGATAGGCTACTACTAAGAGAAAAAGAATATTTTATTGCATTATTTATAAAAACAATACTAGGGACCTTGCAAAATTTTTTATATCCTTAGAGCGAAGCGGTATCTTTCTCCAGTAAAACAATTTATATCAAAAGTTTGAAATATTTTAGGACTGTACACAATATGGGATTCTCTCTAAACGTGTTTACAACATAGGCTACTGTCTCCAAAATCTTAATGAATATTTAAATAATCAACACAATTCACAAAATTGGGTTTAAAGTTACAATGAAAATTAACACATATTAAATTTAGTGCCACAAATGACGATGTCTATAAAAAGTATTATGGTTTAAATACAAAATACCATCACTTGTCCGATAGTGTTTTTGTATCAATATCTCTAATTATGCGGTGTTTGGCCATAATTATATGTTTTGAGAACAAGAACTGGCCACCAAGGCTATTGTCTGTCAGTTGTTTAAAATATGCTAACTAATTATTTATTGAGGTTCCTGTATTTTTTCTATCTTTTTCCCTAGACATGTATTGCTTTCAGTAGGGTACTTAACTTATTAGTGTACATAATTAAAATAGATTTATTTTGATTAGCTGTGTAAAACCAATCAAAGCTTAGTTTATTTCAAAATTGAGTTTATTTTTTTCTCAGAAGGGCCATGGGCCTCTCCTGTCTATGCCCATAGCCCATGTTAAAGTATGAAATAGATAGGACTCTTCTCATTTCAAAAGATTTCAAAATAATAGGTAATCTGTTAGTGTTAGTATTTTGGTTTTAAGGGAAGAAAGAAAGTTAGGGTCTCTTTCCATCCATTTGTGTCACAGTGTGTTGAACATTGATTGTTAACAATAAAGATAAGGGGTTTTCTAAATGGATTGGGAAAAGTTACTATTCATAAAAGTTTTTAAATCAGCTAGGTATGAGGTAGAGGAGTTTCTGCTAATTTCAAAGTTCCAAAAGCAATTTGTAATCCGCTAGTGTGCTGAGGTATTTGAAGGCCACAGCACTTACAGCTATAACGGGCCGAGTCGTGCCGAGTGTTGTGTTGTGGTGATCACATGTCGAGCACGTCCAGCGTTTGTGATGAGTCAGGCCTAGTCGGCTGGTGACAGGAAATGCAACTCTAGCGTTGGCACAAGCACCTACCTACGTGTAATTATAGAGTCTTACAACACGGACTACTTGAATATACTATCAGTATCCGCTTTGTATTTATGTAAATCACTCGTGGTTATATTGTGGCTTCTTAAAATGCTGAGAAAATTGTAAAATTTTATTTTCAAATGCTTGCTTAAGGGTTTGAAATGAGTCGTGAATAACTTTCAGTTTTGTGTATTGGCTCATTAACAATGTTTTTTAGAGTGGGAGATAGGTGTGGTAAATCCATTCAAACAATAGTTTCTGTTATGTGTTGCCTTCTCTTTTTTATTTACTTTTTGTTAAGTATTTCATTAAGGGCCAATATAATTTTTGCTTTTAAAAGTAATTGTTTTTACAGACAACGAATACAATTTTTTTGTGACGAACAAGTTTTCTTGCTAGTTTGTTTTAAAACCACTTAAATTAGTGTAACTTCAACTGTAGTTTCACACATTTTCTTCGCCTTATTGTTGATTTCAATAATTGTTAACATTTTCACATATTTTTACACTACATTTCTTAAATGTTCTGTTAAATGTTAAATTAATATGGGTATTTTGTTTATATTTGGCCTGACATTGTACTTTAATATCTTTATTTCTCCACCTTGAGCCTAATACATAACTTGACTGATAAGAAAACATGTGTATAACTAGGTATGAAATGTCTTATCAACATGCCTTAAAACACCTTCTAGTCAATCTAATCAGCTGACTTTTATTTAAGATGAATATTTACCAGTTGTTTCCTGTTTTAGTTTAAAGTTTATTTAACTTCAAGGTCAAGTTAATGATAAGTTCAAGGTAATGAAACATAGTGTTTCCCTTCTTTGAAATCTAGGTTAATGCTGAAAGTTAACAATCCGAGAAACATTTTTAACTCACTCCAAAGTAATCTTGTTTGAGATAATAATTTCATTTCAATTGAATTATCCTATTTATAATAAAGCCATTTGAAGACAAATTATCACATTTAGACAGTATGGAGAGTTTTATCATTTCAACAACTACTATTGTACACTCAAGCATCCCATTATATTTACATAATATTCTGACATTATAAAGATATAGATATCTACAATTCTTTTGTTAAGAGTTTACAGCACTTCATTTTTGCAAACCTTTTTTTGAAGATTTGTTATAGGCTCTTAATTAGAAGTGATTGTAATTTAAATTGTATTGTAAAATCTTTTTCATTAGTGTAATTAACTTATTATATTTTGTTGTTACATCACAACTTGATGATTTGTAAAACCACACAAAAATATAAATAAATTATTAAGCCTCTCCAATCTGTCTGTGTACATTTCACCTTATGTAAATACTTTTTTAAAGAGTTGATGTTTGTAATTTTTATCTTTTGTGACCAGTCCTAGATTTTGGTGTTACAAAAATGTCTAAATGCCGGAGTCTTTTTTCAAGCTGTGTAGTTCCCAAAAGCTATGTTAAATCCACTAAAATTGTGCACATTTTACTTTATCCAACGAGATGATCATGATCATTGTACTAAACTTACCGATTAGCTGGAGTACACAATCCACTATTGTAGAACCCTATTTTTGTGATCATTGATTTTTTTTCATCCTGCTGTATTACTAGTTTTACTGAAAAAAAAGAACTGTACATTACCTCATTGGTTATTGAACCGACGATGCCTCCTACTCTCTTATGTGTTATTCTGCATAAAGAGTTAAGTACATCAAAGTTCTCTTGGACATAGGTCTTCGACACAATTCTTGGTCTGCCGATCGATGGTTTTACCTTCCGAGGTTCTAGGTATTTTTATCATCATATAAAAGTTAATATTTTAGCTTATAGTTTTGTGTGTGTATGACTCATTTGACTCTCGTACAATAAAATATCTAACCTTAAGATTTTCTAATGGTCTCTCATTGTTTCAGTGCCTTTATCGCATCGTTCTACCTGCGCAAGACATGGCTCGTGTACGGAGGCTCGATAGTGAACGGCTGCAGTGCTGCCTTGCTGTGGACGGCTCAGGGAAACTACACGATCCTCAACTCAAGGCCGAAGACCATCACCAGAAACACCAGCATATTCTGGGTCCTGTTTAAGTGCTCGTAAGTATACATAGATTTTGATTGGTTAATGGCCGAGTGAAACTGGAACACATATCTGAAAAGATAGGGGGGGGAGGGGGGTTTAGAAAAATATTTCATGGCTAAATAATTGGGGATGTAAAATTGAGATGAAATAGTCAAGTAAAACATGATACAGAGCAACAGGATGATTTTTGTAATTAGGAATTAGTTTTAGTAATTCTGGATATCTAGGTTATCTTTGTGTAAAATGTCAGTTAATTTGGTTTAGATTCTGATATTTGGTTTAATTTGATAAGTGTCGTCAATGTCAACCACCAAAATGTTACCATCAAAGTTCTAAATTGTTAATCAGTTTCTCATAATTTGTTATATTGTTATAATTTTTTTTAGGTATTGTTATATTTTATAAATTATTTTATATTTTATCAGATATTGTTATATTGTTACATGGTCAACATTTAATTTATATGCACATTTATTTTAATTTTTCTAAAGTCCATATTGTTTGTCCAAGCTAAATTTTCAAATCAGAATGATTGAAGTCAAATGATATTTAGGTATTCATCATTACACAATTTTTCAAATTACATTTACGGTTTAAGTGTAATTTTTGTTGTTTTATCTTATTTATTATTCCATAATCTTGTTGTGTTGTGCATGTGCTTAATTTTGTCCTTTGGATATTCAACAAATAAGTATTGTAATTCCCCTGTGATTAATGAAAAAATGGTAAATCCGTAAATAAATTAAACAGATTTTGCATGTAAACAGATACACACCTCATTTTTCTATTGCAAAGTAATTTTATTTATCTGTTTTTCCAACCCTGAATGTTATTTTAGGGTATAAAAACTTTATTTAAAAGAAATGCTTTGGCTGCTTTATAGTTTGAAGTGAATTTCATAACCCAAGCAAACTATAATTGCCAAAGTAGTTTTGTAAAATTGAGCTATACTGAATGATCAAACATTGCATTTCTTGATGCAATCTTCCACTATTATCAGTTGGATAAGATAAATTTCACAGTGTCTTGTGTTGGGTATGGAATGGAGCACAACTAAAAAAGTAAAAAAAGTAATTTAAATGTTCTTGAAAACTCTTAGTTTGTACTCGTTTGTACAGTTTTTAAATATAAAAAATGTTAAGTGATTTTCTTCTTGGTTTTGATGAACAAGATATATTAATTCTATCCAATGTTTACATTGGTTCAAGCTTAAAACATTACTTCCCTCAAACCTGGGTCATTCTTATAATCAGTAAATATCTGATTATATATGTTTTCTCACCAAAATTAAATTTGTTGTTTTTAATTTTTTTTCATATTTATAGACAAAATTCAATTCTTACATCCAAAAACATCTAAGCAGCTTAGGTTGATTTCCTTTAAAAGCTTTTAATGTTCTCAATTACAAAATTCCACCGTTGAAACTGAATAAAATCTTCAATACTACACCTAAGAAACAAGTTAGGCCAAATAAACATGTTTGTTTGCTCCTATAGCTAAGGTAAAGTTATGTTATGTTTTGAGTGGCAATTAAAGCAGTTTCCATTCGGAAGTTTCCAAATCGTTCAACAGAAAGTCACTGGGTTTGTGTGGATTAATTTGTTTGAGGGTGTTTTAAACTTTCCACTCAGCACAAGGACAGACCACTGTGCCCTTAGGTTGGCCAGTCCAATGCCCCAATGTGACGAACAGTGAAATCTGAGTTAATTGATGCTTGTGAGAGTGTGAGTGTTTCTGCGTAGGACCTTGACTATCCCAACGTTTACAATCTCGCCCAGCCTAACCGGTTCTCCGGTCAACCGGTCACATAATTGATTCATATTGCCTTCCTCATTTCTGCAGCGAAACAAACAGCTGTTTGAGAGTTGTTGTATCTGCAGAGAAAACATATTTATCAGCGTTACGTAATATATTTTTTGACATATTTTCTTTATGTTTTATAAATTTAGTAATAATAATTTTGTTTACAATTTTACACGTTTTAATTTTGTAAAGTGATTTTTTTTATTGTCTTCAGTTTATTCCTCAAATTAGTTAAAATAAATTTCCTTGGCAAAAGGTTGTTGTAGGTAGGTGTATTTAAGTTCTGTACAGTACCATATAAACCTTAGTATAAACTAACTATATAATAGAGGTATTTTAAAGTTATATTTAATAATAAACGGTCTAAAACTAAAACTTGCAGCCATATTGCCGGTACTAAATATTGTGTAAATTATACCTATACAATCTTGGCTGATACATAAGATAATTTCAAATATAAACGTTTAATTTTATTATATTTATGTAAATAACCAATTTTCATAGTTTTGAATCACACACTTTGTACAACACATTAGATAAAATTTTTAACAACAACAGTTGTCGATAATTATAAACCACTCTAACTCTTGAGTGTTACTAAACGGTAGAGTGGAGAACTGATCAGCTGACCTGGCACTCGAGACAATCCAGCCACAACCGGATACAACCGGTAGACGGTACTGCACATAGCACTGAGAAATTCTCTCAGACTATAGGACATGCGTTTATATTCAATTTAATTAGCCGAAACGTTTAACTATTAATGAGAAGGTCAAAATGATCAGCGTAGTCTAGTTGGAAGCCACCATCTGTTCTGACGTCATCGTTGTGGCCGTGAACTTACAACTTACAGCTGAGAAGTGGGTCGTGGGTGTCGTGTTGGTAATCAAGGCAATTAACTGGCCGTTACTTTCACCGATTGAGCTAGCTGCTAAATTATGGCTACTGTGTGGGGTTCATGCTAAAACTTGTCTGTCTGTGTGTTCGTATGTTCACGGTGCTGTTATTTGTGTCACCAGCTGGAAGTTCATTTAAGTCAATGAAGTCAATAGACTATTCGTTCAAAAAATTAAATTAAACAATTTTAGTAGATAATTTTAAATTAAAGTTTGAAATGTTAAATATAATAGTTTTAGCATATAATGTCCTTGCTGAATTCTACAACAAGACGCTTAGCGCTTTATGATAGGTTTATGATTTAAATTGAATACCTTTCTATGACAAATAAATAATATTAAGTAAAATATAAAAACATTACACTTTTTGAATACATTTTAAATGTACAAAAATACTATTGTAAGATTAAATAAACAATATTTTTTACTTGACCCTTCTTTTACATTGATTTACTATTTAGTTAATTGTAACGGGAATAACGTTAAATGAACATGTTTAATGTGTGCATTTCAGTATGGTGAAATAACAAAATAAAACACAATTATTGGTAATTTTAAAATTGAAACTCAAATGCAGTTTTTAAAACTGTTTTTATCAGTGACCAAAACGATTTGACCTAAAGATGACCTTATCTACATCAATACCGTTAGTAAATCTTTTGTTCATATTTATTGTAGTGGAAACTAAAATTTAAAATAAAAACTGTCACAGTAAGATTATCTCACTTAAAGGAAAAACAATAATGTACAAAATCATTGCCATATGGTTAATAGATTTAAAGAAAATTTAATTAAATTAGCACAAAAAGCACCTAATCAGTCTCTGTGCAGTGTGCATGACCTAAACATGTTTATAGATTAATTCACTATCAAGTCACTATCAATAACTTTGAATGTGAGTCATTTCCAGGAAGTGCCAGTTTATCATGTTTATTTAGTTGAGAATGCATAGGCTGCATTGCAACTCAACAATTAACTCTGTAAAATATTTAACCTTTGTACATTTTTTATAGTGACATGCTATTATACAGTATGAAACATTATCTATATAATTAATACGCTACATGAAACTTTGTCGGTTGAACTCCTCCGCCATTTCTTAACCGATTTTATCCATTGACGTCTCATTGGAAAGAGCGTGTCGCGTAGATTTGCAAACTGGCCTTACATTTTTTTTAAAGTCCCTTGGACTCTGCCCCAGTGGCTTTGAAAGTTCCCATGTTATCCTTATGAAGAACATAATTGTTTACATTTTGATCAGCTGTATAAATTAATTGCTGTTATTTATTTTTCAAAACAATGAAACGCATTGAGCACATTTATTGACTATTGCATATTTATTGAGTTTGTGTAAACATAACCCCCAAGACGGATCGTGTTAGTATGGTTGTACCTTAAATATGTGTATTTATCGTTGTTTTGTGTCGCTATGAGGGATCGTGTTAGTAAGATTGTAACTTAAATTTGTGCATTTATCGCTGTTTTGTGTAGCTATAATTTGTTTATTTGTTTTTTTTTAATGCCTCCGACGTGACGACAACGAAACATAGACAGGAGGCGTAATCGTGATAACGTCCGCAGCTACAGAACAGTGGCGCGTAATAGGCTTAACTCATCACGGTCAGCAAATGACCCTGGACAAACTCATTTATTAGGTTACAAATGCGCCCTAACACTTTCCCCAAAACAACTTTTTGTTCTCAATTGGCCCTCTATCAATGACCTGTGTTGCCTGTACAGCGAGGCATTTTGAGAAGGAGAAAACCGGCCGAAATGCTTTAGGTTTATCAATAACGAAGATAAACATGGTCTGAGTTACACACCGGTAATCTTTGAGTTGACTCTTTTAAACTCATTGTAAATATGACTGTTATTCGTTTTGAAATAACTCCTGTAATACTTTGCAATTGCTCGAATTCGAGCAACATGTACACTAGTATGAAATAATACTGTACTATATCCACAATAAATATCCTTATGAATAATCAGTCTACGACCTAATGTTACTTGCCACAGTATAAATAAATTTGTCAAAAACTGTTTCTGTTTGTTAAATAAATAAAATTATTCTACACTGTTGATGGCAGAAGAAATTTTTGAAAAATTATGTAGTGAAAACGTTGAGCATAGGCTGATACTAGGTTTAAAACTAACTTTAAATATCCGTGGAATCGTCTTTCATTAGTAGAAAAAAAACCGACATACATGGGCAAAAAACTGTTTAACTGAACAAATATTTAACTGAAACTGTTTAACTGAACTGTTTAAGCAGTCTCAAGAATTAAAGAACAAAATACAGTCCAAGCATTTCTAAAGCAGCCTTGCTAATTTTCTTCTAAGAAAACCCTATTACAATATAGATGAGTGCTTAACTGATCAGGATGTGTAAAAATAAATTTGTTTTTATCAAAAATGTTTAACTGATACATTTTGTTTAAACCACTTTTATTTTTATAGTTTTAGTTTATTTTAGTCTTTTATAACTCCTTAGTCTTGAGGTATTTGTATTTTGACAATGTCGCCTGTTTTATAGCATTGCTATATTATGTAAACGTTACGTGACAATAAAGATTTCAACCTACTGTGAAGTAAACATATCACATTGTTTTTTCCTCTGGTTTAATCCATTCCAAAAGAAAATGTTTTGCTGGAATCATTACAATTTGAATGTTTTTTTTTATGTTTGTAGATTAGTAAATTTTTTCAACTAATAAATAATTTTACTTTAGATTCAATTTTTTGAAATTTTTCATGCATTGTTCATATATACCTCCAATACTTTAAAAGCCCAGGGGGTAGAGCCCTGACTGAAATATTAAAAAGTAGTTTTATTCATATTTGAAACTCACCAAACATTTTTAGTATGCCCTTAGTAATACCCCTACAAACTGTTCGGAGGTTGTTGCAAATTTTATCATACAGTAATCCATTTTGTAGTATTAATAAATTTGTTTACAAAACCCTTTAGTATGGACATAAACTGTATCAACTTTAAAAAAGTTGAAAAATTTGTACACATATAAAACTATATAAATTCATTGTACTAAAGGATATTTTAAAAAGGATAAGAAAATATTGAAGACTTCATTAGAGAAAATGTCATCAGAACACCGGGATAGGGGCTGTAAACTCCCACATCCAATGACGTAAATGATCAAGGTCAAGTTTACTCCAATTTCAACCAATTGGTATTATTGGTCATAACATACTCTGTTGAGATTGTGTTGGTCAGAAGCCAAAGCCCTAATCCATTATAATGAATATCAGTCCAAATGTTGGAAAAGATTCAAGTACTATTGGATATCTTAAATATATTTTAATGTTGAAAACTAGGCCAACCTTAAATGGATGAAATTGAAATTCTCAAAATATTCAATTTATTTTATTTACTCAAAATAAAACATAACCTTCAATCACTGTTAAGTTTATCTTCATTATGGAATACATGATTTCTGTGGCTAATTTAATTGCTGCAGCCTTTATTTTCAATATTAATGAGAGTATGAGCATATACGCTGTATGTGCAATTCCAGATTTGAGTTCTTCCTACTCTTTTTCTGTGTTAGTGGAATTTTGTATGAAAGTGATTGTAGAAATTTGTAATTCATTTTGATAGCCCCAGGATTGTGTTTTATGACTAATAATGGTAAAAACGCACCTTGTCAGACAATCCTTGTCATGTATTGTGTTTACCATTATTAGTCAGTGGAATTTGGAACGAAGGACAAGTGATTCAAACTTTTAAATTTTTAGATGATGGGGATGGACCCGTCCTCTCGTACTGAAGTTTTATATGCTTAATACTAGGATAACCCCACACACCATTATATACCACTTAAAAGTACATTTTTGAATTATTACCTAAGATGTTGCAACATAAAAATCCTTTGGATGTTTCATTAAACCTATTTTACAGGCTATTCTTCGGCAACATCTTTGTGTTCCTGATGTTCCAAGGGAAGACGAGGATTGACTACGAGACGGGGAACACTGTGATCATCACGCTGTTCTGCGTAGCCGCCGTCGCTACGTTCCTCATGTTCTTCCTGCAGAAGCCGGAGCACGAGAGTCAGAAACGAGATGAGGCGTCGCTCTGGGCGTCTCGAGTGTCTTTCATCGCAGAGGCCGGGCCTAAGGAGGCCTTCTTGAAATCTCTCAGTCTTGCTATCAAACCCAAGATACTTATGTTGTGTCCGCTGTTTTGCTACTTTGGTAAGCGTTTGATAAAGTTGCTGAAAAAAGATTTTCTAGTAAGGGGTAATAATGCAGAGGAATAGTGCTTATAGTAGTATTAGTGCAAGACACATTCTTAAGAATCATTACAGAAACAATGCTAAACGTTGCAATAAAAATATCCTGGTTAATAGCAGGACAACAAGCTACAACGTGAATTAATTAAATTCCAAATTTGATGGTATTATAGCATGAAAGTACCTGGGGACCAAGCTTTGCTCGGGGAAAATCATTAGTTTACTCTGAAAACAGTTTAGTATTGCAGATACATTAATCCACTCCCAAACTCCACACTGCTTACCTTTACTACTTCCTTCACCACTCCCTACGTTGTGGACCTGTTTGCCCTCATTTTAGATTTGCAGATCTATAAATGCCACAGACAGTTCCCACACTCTGCACTGCTAGCCTTACTACTTCCTTCACCATTTCCTACGTTATGGACCTGTTTTCCTCCCTTCTCATAGCATTTTAGGATTGTAGATACCCTAATCTAATCCCCATTAACAGTTCCCACACTCCAGACTGCTCACCTTTACTACTCCCTTCACCACTTCCTACGTCGCAGACCTGTTTCCCTCCCTTCCCATAGCATTTGAGGATTGCAGATACCTTAATCTAATCGTCATAAACAGTTCCCACACTGCTAGCCTTTACTATTATTGATAAAAAAAGTCCTCCTACAATGTATCTAGTAATCTTCAGTATCATCTTTGCTCAATAGTAACAACTGATGTTTTTCCTTTTGTACTGTATTTTGTAATTGCTAGTATACTGTGGATAGACTACTAACAAGTCTTTTGTTTACTTTTTCCTTGTTATTCAATTCAACTAACATGGTTACTTAGCAACCCATAAGACTTTCAGTTTCATTTTTCTACGTAATTAGAATTTTGTTGGCAGTTCTAACTGCAATAAACTCGTTTTTAGACCAAAAATAAACTATTTACAACATTTGAAGACAATCGTCGGAGCCGTTTTCGAGATCTTGGTGCAAGCATACATACATACAAGCAAACATTGCTCGTATTAGAGTATAGGATAGTCCAAATAATTGAATAATAGATAATTTATTAATTGATAAAATTACAGGAACGATCTTGAAGTTACTCGAACCCAAAACTCTGATAATGTTCATTATCTATTGTTGGTGAGCATCTCCTCATGCCTTCTAAATTAAATCATAACAAATAACAAATCTTCTGGTTATATATATAAAACATAAATTAACTTTACAACAGATGGAGTATGATAAAACCCCCTTTATATCAATTTTAAATTAAGTGTTTAAAGTCATGCTTATAAGGTTACAGGCCAATGGTGTAAATCTTTATAAAAATTGAATAACATTTGTTGGAAAGTGACAAATGCTATCACCCTCTTTGCCGAACTTTGTTATTGTTGGATTATTTTTTTTTAAATTAGTGAACAAAATAGAATATTTTCCAACAATTTTAAAAACAGTGAGATGAAAAGTCAGTATGAATTTTTTGATGACTGCATAATACCGCTACATAAACCTTGTTGTTCTAATTGTTTAAAAAAATTAGTTTATGTACTGATACCTATATAATTTTCTAAACAAACATACATCTCTATTATTTTTTGTTCATAAACTTTTTAAACTTATATTTTCACAGAAATGTAGCTGGTGTAATTTTGTTTGGAGTAAAAATGTATATAGTGTAATGCATATAAAATGTTTAAAAGTATTAATCAACCAAAACAACAGATTTTGAGGAATTTTGTTGCAAATAAGGGAAAAGACCCGGGTATGTGTCATGAAACTTATCTATTGTGATACCTAAACAACAAAAATTAATTAGGTACAAAGAAAAAGTTTTAAATGTTGATGAAGATTTTTTTAAAGTATGAACATTAAGATGAAATATTTTTCATAACTACGTGTTGTATCGATAATCCATTTCACAGTGAAAGTTTTTGCATTTAATTATCTCAGAACAAGTTCACAGAACCTGGTTTTCCCTTGCGCTAATCTCAGGTTTCTCTTGAAATTGAGCATTAATAGCCAATCCATACTAATAACCTAATATCTAATATCCAATGTGCCCAACATTGGTTATCCCATGGGATGAATCCCATTATCGTAAATGTATCAGAGATTGTTAGTGTTTTCCTTATCAGCTGATGAGTAAGGTAATTCAGGGTTGCCACTGAAACCTAAAACTTTATACTTAATGTTCAAATCACCAATCAATTCCTTTGATGGATTGTAATAGTTACCTGTTTGTCTTCGCGGCCAAGCACTAGGCTTGTCTTATCAATCGCCTATGAAAATAGCAAAGTGAGATTGTAATGTCTTAATTGCCACAAAAGGTATCTTATCAATTTTTGTAGGAATTTAAAAATTGTAAGTGGAATAGAGTTAACAATTTTCAGTAGTTCTTGTTTTAGTTGTAACCAGTTCAAACATGATATACCGGTTCAGTACAGTTTTAACTTTTCATTATAATTTAAAATACTTTTGAATTGAAAAAGAAATTTTTAATACATATTTTATGGCTTGTTTCAATAAATAATCACAATGACCACTTCATGTAATGTTTGTAGGCAAAATATATTTTAATGTTTGTAGGTAATTGACAATAGTGTCGTGACTATTGTCTTGAAAATTTGTGTGTTTATTAAATTATACAGGGCGTTTATAAAAGAATCATCAGGTTTTAAAGGCGTGTACCTCACCCAATTCTTGTCCCACATTAATATTTGAAACATGTGCTTAAAAAGCATGTTTCCAAGTTTTATAATCAGCTGTTCAATAATCAGTCTTGGTTTTTTCTTGAACGTGTTTGCATAATTTTCAAAATGGTTACAATTCACGAAAAAACATTTTGAGTTTTTCATTATGACTCAAGTTTATCTTTAATAACTGTCCAGCGTGAGTTTCCGGAGCATTTTAGACGGACTCCTACTACAGACCAAAGAATTTTAAGGTGGTATCGCTAGTTTAAGAACTCTGGAAGTGTATTGAAACGTAAAATCATAGGTCGTGAAAGAGTTCTCTTAGAAACTGAGATGGATTGGCAGATGTAACGATAATGACATGACCCTTCTCAAATGGCCCCCTAGATCCCCTGATCTTTTGGTATGTGATTTCTTCCATGGAGTAAAAGACAAAGTTTATATACCGCCAATGCCTCAAACGCTTTAAGAGCTCCGTGGACGAATTCGCATGTCGTAGAATCAATCAACCTTGCGATGCTAGCCGGTGTATGGGACAATTTACAGCATAGATTGGAAACTTGCTCCACGGTTAATGGATGGCACATTGAGCACTTATAGGGGTATCTATGAAAAATTTAAGAGTTCTCCTTTCTGTTGATATATTTTATATCCGTATTTGTTTTCCATTAACGTCATTAAAATGTTTTAAAACCTGATGATTCTTTTATAAACGCCCTGTATTATGGGGGGTTTGTGAAATAGAGGTTATGTAGTCTATACTACTAATTGCATTTATTTTTTCCTGCTTTATCATTTTATAATGGTTAACTTCTTGAATTTCTCCATGATTGGAAATTTTACTTCTTCTGTTTACTTTGTAAACATTTAATTTGTAATTTATACATTATAATCACACATTTTCCTAAGTTAAATTGTGATATATCAACATTCATTGTTCTTGAAAAGAAAGATCTTACAGTTTTACAAACTCTGTACATAATTTTAAGATTTTATGAACAAAATCTTAAATGACACCATTTTTAAAATGGTGTTTAGTTAGGCACCCTGCATTCATCCATTAATAAAAATTATTCAGTGTTTGGAAGTTTTGCGGTATATCTTATGGTTTCTATACATTTGTGTTTTGTCTTGCGCAGGTTTTCAAGTGTCGTATCACTCCGGTATCTACGCAGCCTGTGTAGGGTTCACCAAGAGCTTCGGTGACGACAGCAAGAAGCTGGTACCTCTTGTCGGCATTGCTATTGGTCTAGGAGAGCTAATCAGTAAGTTCATATAAATTCAATCAAATTGTACTGTATTGTTACATTAAGTTACATTATTGTTAAATTATTTTGTTCTTAAATTGTAATAAGATAAGTTGTTTTAAAACACTTTAGTTAGTTAGGATAACTAATTCTTATTAAATTTTTAGTTATTGACTCTGTTCCTCGTCACAAAGTTATTTCTAAGAAGGTTAATATTGTTTATTTATAACTGAAGAGCAGCAAAAGCTTCTCTCTAGTTTACAAAACATCACCGACATCCAATTAATGCCAAATAACAGTTTTATATTTACTTCTTAATAGGGCTTTAAATGTCAGACGCTTATCTAAACAAAGGATTTGGCGGCAGGCAGCTAAATTTGTGTGGTAACATAATTTAAGTACTCTACCATGAAATTGCCTTAAATAGATACTTACATAAAATTGATGGTATGTGAACATTTGATTTTTCCTTGAATTTTTTACCTCTTTGCCATTTGGAATGTTTTCCCTAAAATGTATATTTAATCTGGTTTATCAATGTTAATGTTCTGAGAGTGATGATATCTGTTGAGTGATAGACAATCAAGGCTAAGTGTTTGTAGATTAAGTTAGCCGCCAAGGCTGAGTCCAGGGATATACTCATTCACTCTTGTGTTATCTTAGGCAGTGTAAACAGGTTTATAATCTCCAGATGAATAATTTCACTTAAACCAATAGTAATAATTGCTTGTTGTTTACTACAATAGACTATATGTTATACTTCTATATCATTCTTTCTGCCACTTTCACATCCTAGGACACTGGTTTCTAGCTTGGAACTGTTTTACACATTGCTAGTCTTAGAGGGTCGTAGCATTGTCACAAGGATAAAATCCATTAGTGATTGGGAGGACTTGAACCTGAGTACAAAAAATATTTATTTATTTTAGTTAAACATTCTGTAAAAAGAGTTCGCAAAAGGAGTTAGATATTGTTTAAACCCTCTTTTAGATAACATTTAATTTGTCCATAGCTTATACAGGTATAAACCATGATAAAGAGGACGAGTCCGTTTCAAATGTCCTATTTTATGGTCAATCAATCTTAAGAAGTTAAAGGGTATTTCAATTTAGAGAGATCTACGTCAGTAGTGTTTATATTATACGCAAAATCTATTTCTTAAAATAATTGACAATTTGTTTACTAAACTTTATCTTTATCGAGATCCGTATCGTCGTCTCCTCTATTATATTCTGTTGGCTAGGCCAACTACCCATGCCATGGGGAACAGGACGTATTGCCTACCCAGTTAATGCCAGACGTAGTTAATTTTCCCATTGATTTGAATTTTTTATTATGTTTTCGGTTGACCTGGGTTTTAGTGTAACGGGGTGCGGTTAAGGAATTTTAAAGGTATAATATTCTGCAGCACCTAAGTTTTGTCTTAAGTTCCAAACAGTTATTTTACTATCAAAATTGTTTTTACTAAAAGATCATACAGTGAATACAAAGGAGTATTGTAACTTTACAAAATGTAACTTATTGAAGGTTTCAAAATCTTGACTCGAGTCATGTACAACTACCCTGATTTGTATTAAGTACCAGTTAACATGGACACATGTGATTTAGAAGTGAATTGCGTTTGATCAACTGTCTCGCTTGCTGATGTAAGAAAATTGTTGTGTCCAAGTAAGTGAGTCAAGGACAAACGAGTCAATCAAGCAATTACTCTGTCAAACTGATCTGCGAGCGCGAGACGTTTACTTGTTAACTGTACGTCACCAGCGGAATAACTGAGACAACTAACACAACTCCCATCAAATCAATCTTGGAAGTGGATTTTAGCTTCTCACTGGTAGAATTGTGTTGAGTTTAAGTTGTTTCAGGACTACAACTGTTAAAAATGTTTGAAGCTTGGATATAAAATGCCATTACAGCTCCTAAACTGAATTCGGAACTTTGGTTATTATACCGACCACACCTAATAATAATTGTAACCTAACATAAGGGTGGACTATGTTTTAGGTTAGGAAGATTTTGTTATTTTAACTAATTTAAATCTTATTTGGAAGTCGATTTATCGGTGTTGTTGGTATAGTGCCAAAGTACCCTGTATTCTATACGACTAATATAGTTAAATTACCTCGTCGCCATTTCAATGAAAAGTACTATAGTATATTTCATCACTAGGGCCTAAAGGGACTCTTTTTGCCCCGAGGTCAAGTTTTACGATGAGGGTTAAAAGGACACTTTTTGCCCATGTGGTGAACTATATTTTTTGTCATATTGCATCATTAATTATTAATTAACAAACTAAGCTAGGAAACGAAATAACGTTTATGTAAAGATAACCGCTCAAAACGATTTCCAGCTTGTTTTCAATTAATGCAAATAAGCAGCTGTTTAGTAAATGATTCAATCATTTCGTCTAATATGATTGTGTTTCAGTACATTATACCATCGATATGTCGAGCGATCGACAACAATAGGCTAAAACCTTACCTAATAAATCAATCGATAAATAATTTCGATCGATACGATATCCATAATCAAAATTTACATCTGTTTACAACATCTGATTTTTACTCCCTAGAGAGTAAAAATGCTACTTTAGACTTGCAACGCATACATTAAAAGGGCTCTTTTTGCTGCAGTATGACGAAAAAGGATTAAAGTACCTTTTCTTACAGTATTTTACTGCGATTATTCACATGTTTTGTTCCTAGTGTAGCATAATCAAGTGTAACTTTTTTTCCACCTTAACATCCTAGAAAACTAGGTTCTAACCCAGAACCGTTTCACACATTAGTTAAGGTTAGGCCTAGAGAGTCGTGGCATAAAGACTAAGATTAAATCCATTGGTGCTTGGTGGGATTCGGACACGGGACCACGGGAGACTAGTGGTTGTGCTCTACAAGACCAGCTCAGTCTATCATGTGTAACTTAACAAAATTGTCCTTAACTTGTCCAAATGATTAGTTCATTGAAAATGCATAATTATTATTTGTATTAATGTTAATATCATAACATTAATTCCAATTTCTTTACTTTTCTGTGTAATTTTAGTTGCAATTCAATATTAAATGTCTGTGACCAATGCTTTATCTTTAATGTAAGTGATAAATTCCACTTAGACGAGTAGATTAAAATTCTGTATTTAAGGTCCCACCTGTTGATGCTACAATAATTGTAGCGAATCATATAACTAACAGCCACACAACAGAACTGTGTCCCAATTTTGTAACTGCGTGTATATTGAGTTATTTTAACATTTGATAAGATATAAATTCTGCAATGATAAAAGGCTTGGCTTGTTTTTGGGGGGATTTACTTATTTTATCATGCTTTTTGTGAAAGGGCCTCTAGCTAAACACATAATAGAATTTGGTAAAAATTAGTGCAATAATCCAGTCACAGTTTCCGAAGATTCAGAATTAAATTTGAGACCTTTTATGAAATTTTACAGGGTTTAACATTTTAGTCCACTACTACACAAATACACTAAATTCATCCAAATTTCATTAAATAGATCTTATTTTATGCTGTCGATGGACAAGAGCTTGAAGTAAGATATGACAAAATAACTAAAATAAGTAAATTACCAAATAAAACGAGCCAAGTCTTTTATCATTGCAGAATTTATATCTTATCAAATGTTAAAATAACTTAATATACACGCATGTGTTTCAGCATCTCAAAACATGAAACATTAATTTCTATGATTTTACTGTATAAAATAGGTTTACGCACCTTGCGTCGTCAATCCTGGTTTGGTCTCTGGCGTTGACAATGTAAAGTACGTAAACATATTTTATTTCGTCAAAAATCAATCCTGGTTTCAATGCAAAACTTTGTGCTGAAACCTAGGTCACAGTTACAGACTTATTTTGAACTGGAGACTGAATGTAACTAAATCATTATATTAGTTTTTAACCAGCTCAGGGGCAATTCCACATCTCATGATGTCAAAAACATTTAAAATTTCAATTTATTATCAATTAGACCAAAGATAACTTTCACCATAAATCTGCACTTCTAATGAGGGCAATAAGATAAAACAAAACTGCAATCAGCAGTGTTTCTAGATGTGTTAATTAATCATGTAAATAGGTAATAAAATTACTTTTTCATTAGAGTTTGATATATTGAGAGCAAGGTTCAATTCCAAGGTCTATTTTCACTTGAAATAATATAAAACTCTACTAACTCCATTAAGGCCAATTGATTGTTCAGCTCATTCACTTAATCTTTTTTCTTTTCTTTATTTCATAAAAGATTTTGAAATTTTAGCAATAGGTGTTAAGTAGGATGAGAATCGATAGTAGATGTTTTTGAAACATTGATGTTGTTTTTCTATCTATTTTCAATGGTATTTACATCGATGGTACTTTACCGATGTTTTTATTACATTGATGTTTTTGGCCGAGTATTGAAATATCGACGTTTTCCATTATTGGAGAGTACAGAGAACAGACAAAAAAACTGAAAAAATCGATGTTTTAGTCCCAAAAACATCATGATTGGTTACATAGTGAGAATCGATAATAAAAAAAAATAATTAAATAATGATTTAAAAATTGTCACATAAAAAATCGAAAAACTACATAATTATCTTCTGTGCTCTCACCTTGTTGCAAAGCACGGGTAAGGCCACTATTGTTTTTAAAGCTTTTTAAATTTTTTGGGCCTGCTGATTTGCTGACAAACTATTGATGTCGTCTGCATGCTTTAATTTCTTAACATTATGTTTACTGTTTCAGCTGGCTCAGTTCTGATCCTCAAGGGCACGCACATCTCCAAGTTCAAGTGGGGTGGAGTTTACATTGTTTGCATCGGATTCTTTGTTCAGGCGCTTTGCTACTTGATTTCATTCTTCAACTTACCAAACTCTGCGAATTTCGGGGACACACATGAAGCAGCTTATATTGAAAGCAAGTAAGTAAAGACTTGTTTGTAAGGTTAGAGAGTATGTCCTGGTACATAGGAGCAGGACACACTTGTATAGTAGAGTCTCGATTGTCCAACCAAAAACAATTGCAGTAAGGTCAAATAAGCAAAAATATCGCATTGCACAGTGAAAAAAAATTCTTTACCTGTTAAAAATATCAGATTTATAAAACTTTTGTTGCCAAACCTGTTGAAGGCTTGTTACTAAAACTACTTTTAGCGAATTTCCCATATTTTTATTATAGTCACAATTATATCACATGAAAATATCAATTGATTTTCCTGTATTAAATCTCCCACAGTGTGGATGGAAGGTCTGATAGTTGAGACAACTCTGTATAATTAATCATGTATTCATGATGTCTTTGTATTTTATTGAGATTTTGAACTTTAACAAGGCGTCTACTTAAGGCAAAAACATTTATACACTTTAGTAAAGTGAGGGACTGCGGCGGCACTCACTTTACTCACTTGAGTGCCGCCGCAGTCCCGAGCCCGTTCAGCCGTGCGCACGGTGATAGTTTTACTAACTGTTTTCGTCAGTGTCGTGTTTTTATGTTTACGTGGTCAGACTACGTTTCTCAATGTAAAATATTTTACGCGGTTGCTACACCAACAATGCAACTAAGTGTGGAATAACCTAGTGCAACAGCGGAGCAGAAGATGTCCTAAAGGTCGAAACGTGCGTCCTCCATAGATATACTGGATTGGTTGACATAAGTTGTAATTATTAATTTAAACATCAATCCGTTTGCTACAAATCAATCATGATAATGACTGTTGTCTATTGGCATGTGTAATATTACATGTCATTCATTCATCATTAACATTAATTTCTCTATTATTTTGTATATTTTCTCTCATAATGTCTGTTAATGCCCCTGATAATGTATTATCAGTTATTTAATATGTTTCTCCTTGTTAATGTGTTATTTTATCAAATTTTGTTCAATGTTATATAATATCCCATCACCCCACAGAAACATCATCCTATTTCATGTTACAATAAAATATTTATGCAAATTCTCTCCATACCTATTAAGTACTCATCAAAAACCAACAATAATCATTTATTTAGAATGATATATAATTGTAAGAAAATTGCAATATAGTAATAAAATCTCAAATATAGTATTATTTTTCAAAATTATCCAAAGAAAATCAAAATTACTGTGGCAAGTGTCATTCATGTAAATTTAACCAGCTGTGCATCATTGCAACAATGGACATGGACTTCCTGAGCTTCTACCATTGCCTCTCCCCAGATCCTGCCAACTCTTCACAGTGTGAACATCATTCTATCGGAAATTGTGTTTGATTTAAACTAAAATTTATAATCCCAAAGTAAAACCTATATTTTAAATTTCTCATCATCCAAAAGTATTGGACAAGTGCATTGAAGAGTACCAATTTATAAGAAGACAGACACTCCAAATTTGGTAACCATCATCCATCCTATTTAGCTAAGGACAAATCTTCATTGGACATTTAATCAGAATAGCCTACTAGGCCCAAAAACTCAACTCATCAAGATATACATATTTCAAATTGAACTTTTATTCAAAATTTAATCTTCAAATTCTATTTTATTTCATTAAATTCAGTGAAACCATTTGGAATCTTTCTTTGGACATTAACATTATTAGCCTATATTAATAGCATCATGAACCTAGCTTAACTTATTTCAGAACAATAACTAAATTAAATTATTTGCATTTTAAAGAAGCCTAACATATCATTCGAACCGGCACGACCACCCCTCCCTGGATTAAGAGCTCATAGCCTATTTAAATATTAATTAGTGTACTTTAGAAGAAACCAGCCCAATATAAGCCTAGAATCTTTTGATCCACTTTGGAACCCCCACCATTTTGAAAATTTACCATTGTTAACTTACCCTGTAACTAAATTCAACCAATAACTTATCTTATATTTGTATTTCATTAATAAATTTTATATTGTAACTTACCAAATCTATTTATTCTTAAAATAATTCATAATTATAAGATTAAGACAAAGACTTACCTTATTAGACAGAAACAAAACACAAATTAGGAATTATCTTTATTAAGAAATAAAATTGACTTTCAGTTCAATGTGGGCTAACTTAGTAGCCAAAGGAATTTTGTAGGCCTAAGTTAATGAATAGCCTATAGAAAGCTTTATGGTGCGTAGCAAAATTGGCGACCCAACGTGTCGGCTTTCGAATGATATATTACGGTAGTCATAAAATATTGCAATTTTCGATTTAAGCTAAGTTAACCTTAAGTTGTACTAGATCGTAAGAACCCATAGCCTATTGTACTGTACGTCCCGTAATTAACATTCCCTAACCCCAATAACAACACAAAGCCGTTATACAAAACATTAATTAATCACGCACAATTTGCATAATTAGTACAATAATTAATCATGGCCGAGAAAGGATATAATTTAAGACCCAACCGGAAAAATTCTAACCTAAATCCGAATTACGAATACGACACTCAAACTGACAGCGAGAGCGAGATTGAAGAAGAACGTCGCCATCTTGATGACATCACATGCACGGACACAGAACAAAAAACACATCCACAGCAGACATCAGAACACACAGAGGAAGAAAACAACGAGTCCATGGACCAATCAGACAATAGTATTCCCATTCCTACAAGTCTGTTTGCATATGTTGCCACTGAACTGTCTAGTAAACAAAGTCTGAATGTTTCCAAAATGCCAGGTGATAGCCAAGGTCACATTAGCGGATCAATAACTCAGACACCCGCACCCGAACACAGCCGATCGTTACCGAATATAGCCGACGACGACGAACGTCACCTAGACCTACCAACACGGCAACGACTTGACAATCCTAGCGTCACTGTCGGTGAAACAGCGACAACAAATACTACTGTCACGTCAGCACTAATTGCACCATCAGATATTAATACTTTAATTGCTCTCATGACTAAACTAGATACTAAATTGAGCAACAAAATTGACGAATCAAATACCGAAATTAAAGCAGAAATTAATAATAAAATCAACAGCAAACTTAATGAATTAAAAGTTGAACTCACTCAAAGCTTCAATGATAAAATTGATGCTAATAGCCTAGAAATTCAAGCTTGCCGAAATGCACTAGAAACTCATATTTTAGAAAATCGTGAAAGTCAAAATAAATTCCAGATCGAAATCAACTCAATTAAGATCACTCAGACAACACAAGCTGAAGAAATGATTAAACTCAATGAGAAACTCACACAAAAAATTGATGAATCACAAGATCAAATGCGCCAATTCGTGATTGATAATCTTACACAACAACAATCAATATCTGATAATAAAAATCAACAGAGACAAAATGACATCCTATCTGCTGTCAAAACACAATTGGTAATGCATGAACAGAATTTTGACCAAAAAATTGAAGAACTTTCTCATCGAACCAGGCAAGAATCCAAACAAAATTCCAAAGCTAATTTGGCCATCATACAAAACGAAATTCTCCCAAAACTCACCATCCAAAACAAAACTTTAGAATCTCAGCAAGCTGAAATACAAAATTTAAATCGCAATCTAATAAAATGTGAACAAGAAGTGGAAACCCTCAAACAAAGCAAAACATTTGAAAACTTCCAAGGCCCAATCAAAATTATATGCAATGGAAATGAAGAGAAAGACCGACAAATACCAAAATTCAACGGCCGAAGTGGCAACCCAAAAGAATATCTTAATAAATTGAAAAGATATTACGACAGAGGACTTGAGCGAAACAGCAATTATGACCCGATTGAATATCTCAAAGACCTGCTAGAAACTTCATTCGAAGGTCCCGCCTCAAGATGGCTACAACTCGTCAAGACTGACTTAAGTTCCTGGGAACAATTTTCCAACGAATTCGAAGCTAAATACTGGTCAAGAGAAGTACAACGCAGCTTAAGAGCCAAAATCGAATCAGAAAAATACCGGTCAAATGGTACCCTCAGCCGCAGTGAATACCTTACAGAACGTGTAATTTCACTCCAATCTATGAGCCCTTGCCTAACCGAAGAAGAAATTGTGACACTGATGGCAGAGAGATTTGACTCCATCATACAAGACTGCATCAATGTACAAAACATCACCACCGTACGTGCATTAGAAAGACTTCTATAACGTGAAGACCTCAAAGACGGACCAAAGAAGACACGCACCAACAACCAGAATCACAACAGCTCATCCAATAACCGACCGACAACTCCAAATCAACAACCACACACCTATCATCAAAACGGCCGCTACGAGAATCAGAGAGCGTACCAACCCAAGATAACTTCATATCACAACAATTCATACAACAACAATCACCAACACAGAAATTATCCAAATCATCAAAATTACCGTCCTAACTACAATCATCCTACTTACGACCGAAACCATGAAAACAAACCATATCAACGAGACAGATATCCTCCACGTAACGGTGACAACAACCAACGGACCTACAGAAACCACCCAACCCAAGAACAAGCTCAGCTCTGCGCAGTAATAAGACAAAATAACTACGTGCCAAGTGCTCCTCCAAACGACCAATCATCACACAGTTACGAGCCACAAACTCATCCTGCACCAAATATACAGGAAAACGGTTCGGCGCTGTAAGCGACAACCGAGAGGGTCAATTATCATTAGTTAACTCTAAAATTACAGCGCCTATTTATGAAATTCTCGGTAATGAAATAAATCATCTTCAATCCCAAAGTATAATGTGCGATAAGAACTTCTTATTAGAAAATGATTCAGAAAATAATCAATCTCCAAATTTCACTCAAATAAGTTGCCCAGAAATTAGCATCAAACTTAATAATATTAGAGTAAACGCATTAGTTGACACTGGTTCATCAATAACTTGTATATCAGAATCCTGGTTCAGTGAAAACAAATCCAAAATTTCACCATTTGAAGAATTTCCAGTTAATAACACAGTAATCAAAACTGCTACAAATGAGCGATCTAAAAGAGTCTCTCGAATTATTTACGTTCCCACTACAATTGCAGAACACACCTTGCCATTGGAATATCTTATTGTACCAAATCTAATAAAACCTATAATACTAGGAGTAGATGTTTTGTCTAATCTTAAAATGGATCTGAATTTCAACACAAATGAAATAGATATGCAGATAAATAATCACAATGTTACTTTGAAGTTTTGTATGTGCAACCAAGAGGGACAAATATGTCACTTAATAATTAATGATAGCCATAGGCCAAATAATGAATATTTTAATGATGAAACGTTTGATGTATATCACGATGATCCAATATATAATAAATTAAACAGCACAATAAATAACTTCAAAAATAGAAAAACAGATCCAATCGAAGATGAAACATTAACCCAAGAAGAAATAGATAATTCCCTAGCAAGAAATACGTACATAACCGCAGAAGAACGTGGAAAATTAAGCATTTTATTAAATAAATATCAGCGAAAGAAGATGAAGATGTTTTATACGGCCCCTACCATGTATCAGCCCTCAAGAAATATTTGGAACCAACCCGAGCAATAGAAGCTGTGATCGACGAGATAAATAATGATGACCCTACCCTCGAAGACATTCTATATCAATAAATTTCATAATGTGTTTCATCCATCAACAGACTTTTGTGCATCATCATCTCTAACCAAATTGTGCCATGGACCTTAATCGCGAGTGCGTGACCCCATAAATTGTGTTTTCCATAAACTGATACCCAGGTGATAAAGTTTATAAACAATACTCACTTACTAATAAACTGTGATCTCCTTAATAACAAAGAAACAATAAAGTTATTTGGTATTGAACAGTATGGAACAACAGCCATAATATCCCTTTCTTCCCATGCCAGGCCATGAACACTCTATTCTATTTTCCCCCTTTTAATGTTATTGTCCTACACATTTGTTAATTTATATTATAATTTTATTGTATTATCACCCAATGTTCTATCATCCAGAAAATCAATCATTTAATGTTATTCATACCTATCTGTAAGTATCATTCATATTAATGATTCATGATTCCATTTCATATTTTGTCGAAATCTGTATTTCATTTCATAGCATACAGATTTCTGTGGGGATAATTTGTAATATTACATGTCATTCATTCATCATTAACATTAATTTCTCTATTATTTTGTATATTTTCTCTCATAATGTCTGTTAATGCCCCTGATAATGTATTATCAGTTATTTAATATGTTTCTCCTTGTTAATGTGTTATTTTATCAAATTTTGTTCAATGTTATATAATATCCCATCACCCCACAGAAACATCATCCTATTTCATGTTACAATAAAATATTTATGCAAATTCTCTCCATACCTATTAAGTACTCATCAAAAACCAACAATAATCATTTATTTAGAATGATATATAATTGTAAGAAAATTGCAATATAGTAATAAAATCTCAAATATAGTATTATTTTTCAAAATTATCCAAAGAAAATCAAAATTACTGTGGCAAGTGTCATTCATGTAAATTTAACCAGCTGTGCATCATTGCAACAATGGACATGGACTTCCTGAGCTTCTACCATTGCCTCTCCCCAGATCCTGCCAACTCTTCACAGTGTGAACATCATTCTATCGGAAATTGTGTTTGATTTAAACTAAAATTTATAATCCCAAAGTAAAACCTATATTTTAAATTTCTCATCATCCAAAAGTATTGGACAAGTGCATTGAAGAGTACCAATTTATAAGAAGACAGACACTCCAAATTTGGTAACCATCATCCATCCTATTTAGCTAAGGACAAATCTTCATTGGACATTTAATCAGAATAGCCTACTAGGCCCAAAAACTCAACTCATCAAGATATACATATTTCAAATTGAACTTTTATTCAAAATTTAATCTTCAAATTCTATTTTATTTCATTAAATTCAGTGAAACCATTTGGAATCTTTCTTTGGACATTAACATTATTAGCCTATATTAATAGCATCATGAACCTAGCTTAACTTATTTCAGAACAATAACTAAATTAAATTATTTGCATTTTAAAGAAGCCTAACATATCATTCGAACCGGCACGACCACCCCTCCCTGGATTAAGAGCTCATAGCCTATTTAAATATTAATAAGTGTACTTTAGAAGAAACCAGCCCAATATAAGCCTAGAATCTTTTGATCCACTTTGGAACCCCCACCATTTTGAAAATTTACCATTGTTAACTTACCCTGTAACTAAATTCAACCAATAACTTATCTTATATTTGTATTTCATTAATAAATTTTATATTGTAACTTACCAAATCTATTTATTCTTAAAATAATTCATAATTATAAGATTAAGACAAAGACTTACCTTATTAGACAGAAACAAAACACAAATTAGGAATTATCTTTATTAAGAAATAAAATTGACTTTCAGTTCAATGTGGGCTAACTTAGTAGCCAAAGGAATTTTGTAGGCCTAAGTTAATGAATAGCCTATAGAAAGCTTTATGGTGCGTAGCACATGATGATGATATGTGTCTAATGACTTGTATGTTGTCAACAGTGTGTGGCTGGCAATGTTGTGCTCCATGATGATCGGAGTGGGTGACGGCTGCTTCACATCACAGATCTACGCTCTACTGGAGGCCATGTACCCCAACGACAGCTCGCAGACTGTTGCTCTTTTCAACTTCATCAATGTGAGTGTTATTTGTACTTGTCGTTCTTCTATTTCAAGCTGTAAATGTTTATCAATCTGTTGTTTTTGATCATGTCCATGCAACTGTAAATTAATAAAATTTACTGTGCAGTGTCTAATTAAGCTTGAACAGCTTATATTTATAATAATAATAATAAGCTTAAGGAGGACACTAAGACAACTATCTAAATACACAGCTTGATTGGAACCAGTTGATCAGCTTCCGGAACTCTTGTCACCCAATCAAGGAGCCCTACGCAGATGTAGGCAGAGCAGCCAACCAATAGCTTAATATTGTAACTTAATATTGTCCAATAACAGTAATATTGTCCTATATAACAGTTGTTATTAACTTAGATTACAGTGGATCCTTGATAACAACACCCCATGGACATTTAAATAAGACTTGTTATCAAGGTTGAATTCTCATTGACATTTATAATAAAATGTGATAAAGGGGTAAAATAAATTTTAGGGAGTTTGAACATGACGCTTGTTATCAATGGTAACTTGTTATAGAGGGTCTACCTATGAATCTAATCTAATATGGTGACCGAGGTGGAGACTGGGACGGCGTCGTCATCCTGTAATCCAGCTACTAGGAGGTCAATTGTGGATATTTATAGGCATGCACTGTGGATGCGATACTCTCTAGTGTGGATTAACGTCCGCACTAGTGAGTACTACAACTATCCGCAGTACTATCATGATAATTAGATCAATTTGTTAATACCTAGGCAAAAATGTGGTTCGGATTCCACTATAATCTGTAGGTCCCTTAGTTGCCATTAGCTGGGAGCTGTGTCTAAGGAATATGTCGGCCTTGGTCACTAACAAGACTGCAAGATCACGCCACTCATCCTACGCTCATCTCCATTTATACTTGGCTTAAAAAGTATTTAAGGTCACCATTAAAATGAAAAAGTATTAAGTATAAGTATTAGAGGCTGAACCAAATGAATGGTATTGAGATTTTTATTTGTGTTTAGAATTTGAATATAGACAGTGTACACTGTGGTCTTGTTGCAGAGTATGTCTACAGCCCTCAGCTTCTACAGCAGCACCATGATTAGTCTACATGTCCAGCTGCTGATCCTGGTGTGCGTGGGTCTCGCTGGCAGCATCGGCTTTACCATCGTCACTGCCAGAGTAAAGAAAAACATGAACAGTCAGTCAGTTCCGACTCACTAATAGTACTGCGACACTGAGCGACTCGCTGTGATCCAGATCATACAGACCTAATCTATGTGTACAAATTTTTTCATTATGTGTGACAATGTATTTTACTATTCGACTATTCGGTTATTTCAAAAGGACCAGCTTATGTGCAGTACATAGAGTAGTGGTCGTGTGAAAGAGATCCGTTCAAAATCTGCACTCAGACGAAGGTCTTATATTTTCTTTAAATGTTTAATCACATGGTGCTTATTTATTTGAACAAAATAACCTTACACAGGTTAGTGTTCCAAGGGTTATAGTTTGCAGATTTATTTTGATTGACTGTGATTTGTAGAAACTGACCGGCCAGTGGCGGTTCTAGGGCTACTGGGAAAAGGGTGTCCAGAATTTGGTATTTTTAAAGCCATTGCGTGGCTGTCTATAGCAATTTTTAAACGTCTAGAACAGTGTCCCAAAACCTCCCCTAAGTTTTTCAGACAAAATGTATGTTTACATTTTTCCCATGGTCCAATGGGAAGATTTTAGCCCCTCCCCTGAACTGCCACAGAAACCAGTTCTAAAGTTATGGTTAGTTTCAAATACAGTAGACTCTAGCCCACTTGTATTATCAAAGTTCAAGTTAGTAAGAGCCAACTGTAGTTTATTTATAGTCTGTATGATGAAACCTGTCTCCTATCCCTCCGTCTACCTGGGCACTGGCCAATAGTTTAAGGCTCAGGCCAGTCCCAGGTAGACACAGGATCAGGAGACAGGATCCATCATACAGACTGTAGGCCATTTGTAAAACAGTCTTATTGCTTTGTTGTAAAAGCATTGCTATTTTAACATTTTAGTAGGGATGGTCAAGTCTCGAAATTTCGGGAAATTTTCGGGAAATTTTAAATCTCGTTACACGAGACGAGATTTCTTTTTGGCCGAGATTTTTATCGAGACGAGAATAAAAAAAAATTAAAAACGCCTGCAGAAAGTCAATGCAATACCCGCAATACAGGAGCGTGTTGTAGTTGCGTTTCCTTTGCGAAGGCGTTCTTATTTAACTAATTCTTTAAATGTAAATATTACTTTAATTATTTTAATAATATTACTTTAATAACATTTGAGAAGTTTTGTTAAGTGTAAGCAGTGTGAGGAATGTTTTATTACTATAAAAAGTCAAAACAAGTAATTATTTTATAAAAATTAATATTGCTTTTATTTTATGATTTATTTTATTTTAGGATAAGTTGAACTCTATCCTAACTGATATCACTATGTTTCCTAATCGTAGGCATTTTTAATAAGTTAGGCGTGATTAATAAAAAAATGTTATGCTTATGTTTTTTAATAAAAGATTGTAAATATTCTTGCCTATTATCATTATTTTTGTATTTAAATAGTCATCTAACAATGTTACAAAATCAGGTAAAAATTTTGAACGTGCATTTCCCGTTGTGTATGAGAAGGGAAATCCCGTCTCGATCTCGTCTCGAAATTTTATGAGAAATAAAAAATCTCGTCTCGTCTCGTCTCGAACTAAAAATCCAATCTCGTCCATCCCTACATTTTAGACATAAACTCCAATGTAATATTAAAATTAATCTGCAACGTTGAAAACAACAAATTTTCTAGTTTTTTTATATTAATTGTAATTGGAATGAAATTTATTGTTGCCATAGGAAATACTTTGTTCCTACTACTGTGCCTTTGAGGGTTTTAAGTTCAACTGAATTATTTATCAGCCTAGTGTGTCGTGAAGAACCGTTTTCATACACCTTATGATTAGACAATCTAAATATCTGGGAAACATATATACTGTCACTTATGACATCTATCCGTCTGGTAAGTGAATTAATGAATCCTTTTGAACGAGAATAACACCAAACGATGTAACAGGATTTTTTGGGATACGTTTATCATATTCGCTTATTAATAGATTCATCATTTTTAATGATCAGTTGAAGAAAATTTTAGTTCTGTCTGGTTCATGTAGATGGTGTTTTTGTATCTTTTTATCTAATTATCAACAATAGCCCATCCTCTTGTTTTAAAACCAAATTGTAAAGCACAAATCATACTTTTTTATATTGCTAAAAGCCGAACACGGAACACACAAATGCTGAGCATGTGAGAGTAAGTTTCACGTACGAGACAAAGCCGTAATGAATAATAGGAGAAAATGCCGGAAAATCACTTTTGGTACAAATTATGAAAGCTACTTTTCAACAAGATGCAAATTCCTTCCTATTTCTGTTTACAATTAGATTGTTATACAGTGAAAACAACTGATTTAAATTATAAAACTTATCTCAAGTAGTGGACAAATAAAGAACTGATTGAGAGCTAGGAAAAGTAAATTTATGGAAAAGGCAAAATCAGCTGATTGGTTTTCCTTGCTCTAAATTAGAGCTTGGAATATTAATTTTCTTTATCAGCTGTCATTAAAAATACTTTCTCTATAGAGTGCTTAAAAAATCATCCACACCAGTACTTAACGCCAACAACATGAAAATAACAAAATAAGCTTTAGGTTTTACAAAAGAATGAGAGGTTTACTCATACTATTCAATGGTTTTGGTTTATCTGATCATAAGGTGTGTTCAAAAATCTGGATACTCCTAACCATTGTTTATCTGAATCAAGTTTTTGTTCAAATCAAACTATCCATCAATTTCAAGGAACTAAACCTAATAATAAATTTTAAAAATTGTTCAACAATTTCCATCTCCAAAAAAGCTTTATATAATACCGGTGTTTTGCTTAGTAAATTTACAAAATACTTAAATCTTGTAACGTTAGTTCTAGTTTGCTAGTTGCTACATTACTGCTTAATTTGTCAAATATTTTCATCATTGGTGAACAATTTACTTAAGAAGGTCTTGTATGATAATCTAGTTCTTAAGTCGATATACTTATTTTTACTTAAATGTTTTGATGATTATTTAATGGAAAAAACGTAAACCTACTTAATATTTTGTATTCGAAAACCACTTAATGTTTGTTCCTAACATTTTAAAATTTATATCACCCATCTTATGTAGTTTTATGATTGTAACAAACTATTCTTATTTTCATTTCATGATAAGGGAGTAAAAGGGCTTTCTTTTAGAAGCCTTTTTGTATTCTTCAAGTCTACTTTAGACCGCCCCGATAAAAAAATTATGCTACAAACTGTTGAAGCACAATAATCATCTGTTACGTTTTAAAAGCACGTAGCAAATTGATAGTGGCGTTGTTTTATTATTTGAGTTTGTAATAAAATATTTTGAAGTATTTTTTCTCTCTTGATTATGGTTAATTTTGGATTGTTTACTAAGAATGTGTGTAAACTTAAGTAATGTAATATTCCTTACACTGTAAAGTACTAGATGTATACAAATATGCTAGATAATTTTATTTCACACCGTAGCACAAGAAGCGGCCTGTTTATGCTCACACAATACAATGAAGATGATGATGGTTCCCAAAGTGCTTCATTTTGTAAATATTCTGTGCCTTAAAACGACCAATACATTTAATAGAACTATGACAAACTATTTTTTTTAGCTTTGCCAAGCCTAAAAATGCACAAAATGGTAATATTTACTAATTTTACAACACTTTTATCTATTTAGTAGGTAATGTTCTAAAATACTACTTAACCTTTTGTATGATATTGAATGATTGTATTTAGTTTGTGTTAAGTATAAGTAAATACGTATATACTTAGTTATATAGTGACAAGGGTATGATATGTGAGTGTTTTAGTTAATGTGCCAATGTTTATGTATGTGTGTGTAAATCAACTAAATAGCTTAAACTCTGTTGATTGTTGAATTGTGTTATCCAGAGTTTAAACTATTTCGGGCAAACAGTAATAATTATGTTAATTTTATATGTATATTCCTTTCTCACTTTCACTATCAATGAGGAAATTAGTTTTTTATGATCTTTAGTAATTAAGTAATAAACGAATGATTAATGAAATACCAATGATTTATTATTTTTCATTCCTTAATCCTTAATAGAATTTAATTTGGGCATTTGAAAAACAAGACATTGTTTCTTTCAGTTCTTATGCAATGCCTTAATGATGTGATTACCCTACACAGTAGAGCCCCTCATATCCGGCCACCGCGGGACCAAGCCCCTGGCCGGATTAACCATCATACTATGAAAATGACGATTCATTCCTAATAATAATATAATATTTAATCAATATATGCAGTCAAAAGTATCATTCAAGTATATTCTGGGATTATTTTTTAGAAGAATAAACATGTTTGTAAAAATAAAAAAAATATTTGTGGGTTAAAGTTGTTAAGGTAAGAACAAATTAAGTTCATTAATTCAAGGTTCTACTGTATTGAAAAAAGAAGAAAAACTATTGGATAACTTAAATTTACAGACAAAATTAATGTGTGATCGTATTGCGGAACTATCAAAACCATAGCAGAGCCTTGAAGTAAGATTGTAGTCCAGACACCCAAAATTATTCATAAAGGCTTTCACTAAGCAGTTGTGCCATCTGCATCAGTAAGAATCGTCAACAAACAAAAAGAAAAGAAATTAATACAAAACTGCTTTTGATAAGTACACACTTTGATTTATCAAGTGATATTCAAGTCAATTGAACAAATACAGGGTGTTTATGAAAAAAATTTACACCTTCAAAGAGCCATAAAACCTTAATTTTTCCACTTTAAGTTATGAAATAACAATCAAAGTCTAGAAAATCATTTCAAGTTCTGGTTAATGATAAGAAGCTAACTAAAATCAACGTGTTTGCCATTATTGGCATGCAAATAGTCAAGTCTAAATTCCAGTTTGGATCAAACACTACCAAAATGAAACCATTTATTTCAGCAAATGCTCTCCTGATTCTTTTTCTGAGTGCATCCATTCAAGGCCACAGTAAAAAAACAGGCCGTAATGCTCGTCAAGCATGACGGCAATGACGTAGGTATTTATTTATTTATTTTCCAAGGAAAGATTAAAACAAGCAGCTGATCACAAACGGCCAACATTAAGTCATTGCCGTCTTCTATCGTGACGTCATGCTTGACGAGCATTACGGCCTGTTTTTTTAGTGTGGTCTTGATCCATTACGATTCTAACAAAACTCATCAATTATTTGTTATTGTTTACAAAGCAACATATACAATTCAATCAGCTGATAAAACTGCTACTGATTAGAACTTTTCAGCCAATCTTTCATGTGGTGTTTTAGACAACTTTTATGTTACATAGAAAGAGGGGGGGATGGTAAAGTTGTAAACATTTTTTATTAACCCCTGTAAAATATTGAAAATATATCCCACCTTTGTAAATGTCGGTTGATCAAATAAATAGATATCAGAAAAATAATAGATAACACAGTTTAATTTCACTTATAAAAATAATCAAATATTAATTTACTAACACTAATATAATAATTAATTATTAAAATATAAAACACTCTCTAAATGTTTTTGTCCACAGTTTCTTTACAATCGGTCAACTTATCTTTAAAATGTGATATCAATCTATCATTGTAGGTTGGAAAATGCGATTCACAATTGCACTTCTTACAATCAATTCGTCTCTTATGAACTTTGGAAGAAATGCCGAACTAATTTAAAAAATCAAACAAAATGAACAAATCACCTGTTACTAGCTATACAATCATAGTCAAAACACCTGATACAAGTCTCAGTTAAGTCAGAAACTGTTAACAGTTCAACGAGTCTGTTTTCTAAACAATTGCAATCACAAATATACTAACATTAACAAGAAACACATCAATTTGATCAGCTGATTTCACTTGTTAACGATACTGCAAAAGTCAACATAACGATTGCATAATATGGACACATTTTCTGAGAGCATCCAATTCATATTAAACAAAAATGCAGTAAAAAACCTTATAAACTTACTGAAGGAACTTATTTGTCATTAAGTCGTTCTACTTTCTACATCTTTGTCTGCTGTTTTCCCTTGTGGATGTCCAAACTAACGTAGATGTAACTCGCCGCACCCATCGTGCCAGTCACCGTTAGTACAAGAAGTTGCCAGTAGAGGCTGACGTAATTGCTGCTGAAGAATCCAACGGCAGAGAACAAACTCTGTAAATAAACAGAATGTGTTGTTATGTATAGTTTCCCTTATTAGTCACCAAATCATCAGCTCAGCTCTATTAAATTAATATTGGAGGTCAGAATGTGTTTTGACAGAATTAGATCACCGTTGTTTGAAAGGTTTAGATGAGAGCTTAGTCAATAAAATAAACACGTAGAGAAATATCAGCACATGAAAAAATAAATTGTCATTAATACAACAAACTGATCAATGGTTCGCTGAGTAACATCTCAGAATAAAGACGATGCTTCTCATACATCAATGAGAATAGTGTTTGACATTTAACCTGAGATGTGCTCTTAGCAGCAAGAAACAGCTGTCCTTCTCTTATTAACACAACACGATCAATTAATTGACACAAGAGGTAATCTAAACTTATTAATGTTAAGACTTAACTCAGAAGTTTCACTGCGACAATAAAGATTTTGCGGTTGAATCTGCTAGGGTCTACACCAAATTCTAGGAGTGCTGTAGACGCTTTGAATCTATACTTATTTAATACGCAACTACGCAAGCAGGTTTTTTGTGACAATTACTCCTCCGAAACTACTGAACCGATTGACATGTTTTTGGTGTCATTGGAAAGTGTTTAACTTGAAGTTGTGCAGGAAACTTTCTTTTTAGGGAAATGGCCCTAGGGCCCTTTAAAGGTTCGTATTTCTCCACAAGATTAACATGGGAAGCAAAAATTGTTATGAAACTCCAGCTGTTGTCAGAAATTAAATAGTAATAAATGGTCTCCATGGAAGCATGAGAAAATTCACAATGTTTGCTTTGATATTTAAATGTAAACAACTAGAACTGTCAAATGCCTATTTCACAATTTCAGACAGCTGATCCAAAAAAAATATATATATTTTACACAACTATGTGGTAGGTTTATTTAATCTTAAACTTTATGATAGATTATTTATTCTAAATCTATTTCAATGATTATGAAACTGATTTTTTCCCGATGCGAAGCACGGGTACAGCAACTAGTTTTTTTTAAATGTCATATAACTTTACATGTACATATAATCAGCTGATGGCAACAGTGTAGAGACGTCAGTTCAACCAACAACAGAAGTGATCCTAGATTCTGGTGTAGACACAAGCAAATTCAAACGCAGCTTCTTTTGGCTCAGTGATATTTTTAGGTGGATATTTTATTCTGTAGGTATATATTTAAGTGTTAATATAACACAAAAGTTAATCGTAATACTGATAACAAGAGTTTACAACGTTTCTGCAACAAACATAGGAATGTGGTCATGGTAAGTAATAGTTTGATTCCTAGAGTTTGACTTTGTTTGCGTTCAGTTAGTCTTTGTGTAAATAAGTGTACTCATATGTTTTGGACATAATTTATAGGAAGTGCAGGCTAAAAGTACTGTAACACTAAAACTACGTAAAGAGAAGTTGGTATATATAAATAAATAGCTTACAAAGACGAAAGTGAACACGGCACATCCGTAAACACTGTCGTTCGGGAAGATCGCTCCAACCATGGCAGGAATCATAGACATGTAGATACCGTCGGTGAGTCCGATTAACAGAGCTGCTATGACGGCGATCCACCAGCTGAGGATATAAATATAAAATAACATAGTAAAATGTTTGGTTGGAGGGCAATGTTGTTTGCGTTGTTGTAGTCCTATAAACCTTCTTTCAGCAACAGAACTAACTTGTTACATTCCAATTATGCCGCTGAAACAATGTGCTTGTGTTTTTAAATAAAGGAAAGAATATGCCGACACTTATGTGCTGTAATGGAAAAGGATTAAAAGCAGCTGCACGATCTGTCCTCGTACTTATCTTGAAGCATTTTAAATGAAAATGTTACTACATGATTAATTAAAAGTTGACTGTGATGTAGACTCTAATATTAATGAAGATGGACCAAGCTGGGCCGTCCGAAGGGGGGGGGGGGGGCAACCCCGGCTGCCGTGGCTGAGGAGAATGCGACTATTACTGCTGGGGGGGAGGGGGCGCCACGACAACGTTTGCTCCGGGCGCCGCCAACTCTAGTGATGGCCCTGGGATCAAGAAGTCACCTCTTATTTGATCTGAAAAATTATGTAATAGTTTGTTGATTTGAGTGAGACTGTATAATAATAATAAATGATTCTGGGTGAGGAATTAATTGTTTTAGAGTATTATTCTCTTCCTCTTCTATCGTTTAAAACATCTGTACCTTTGCTTCTATACTTTTGATTTAAAATACATCAATTACAGAGGGTTCCACTAGCCGGCTGTTACCACAAAAACATGGTCCTACAAAAAAGAACCTCGTGGCATTATTAATGTGTTAATCGAGTTTAAATAAACTGTAAAATATTTACAAAGCCAAACTATCCCCTTGATGAACTGGAACTTCGTAACTGATTCTTTAAGTATTTACAAAATCATTTTGATAATCTGTAAATTAGTCTTTTTTTCACGTGTGATTTTAGCTTCTAAATAATAGTTAAAAATTAATTTATCTCCTTGCATTGCAAGCTCCGATATGAGTACAAAAGCACACAATAATTGGAAACAAATTAGATTTAGCGTGTTGCTATACCGTAGCAGCATTTTTAGCCGCCATCTTGAATTGACCGGGTAGAACCCTTAAAGGAGGATTAATGTGAGCTTTGTCTCATTTTTTGGCAAGTTTCTCAAGAAATAAAAAAAATCTTAACATTCAAGAAACAACCAGCTCAACCTACCTGCTTTCAATAATGGCATAGCTCAACCTACCTGCTTTCAATAATGGCATGATCATTAGTTACTCCAAACACTGAGTTGTCAGGGAAATTGAGCAGGATTAAGACGAAAGCAGCGTACTCTATGGCAAGAGCTGACAGCATGACAATGGTCTGGCCATACTTCCACAGAGCAATCCTCTTACCGAGGCCGATCAGAACACATTCCGCTGAAAAATATAAATCACTTTATAATATGGTAATTTTAACTTATAGCATTGACTATTGGATACTGTTGTATTAATAGTCAAAGTTTCACGTCATGTCCCTATCAGAACTCACATTGGAGGCTCAAGGAATACAATGATTTTTAGACCCCACATTGGAACTTTAATACCCCTCAAGTGACTTAACATATCAGAAGACACCAAATATTTCCAAGAAGTGTTTTATCATATCATCAAATCATCAACCCTTTCAGCCTTAGAGGTTAGGTATTCATTGACAAATTATGTCAAATTCATTGAAAAATTATGTCACTGGCCCGAATGCCTATATACTTAAAGCTGTAACAGCTGGTTTTACAGTTACATCTATATATATAAAATCCAATGTATGTTTGTATGTTTGTATATTTGTATGTTTGTATATTTGTATGTTTGTCCTTTATGGACTCCAAAACCGCTCGACAGATTGTAATGAAACTTTCAGGCATTATTAAGCATTATTTAAGGATGGTTTGTGTGAAGTTTGGTGCAGATCCGTCAATAGGGCTCCGCCCCAGTGGTTCTGGAGTTTCCCATGTTAACCTTATGAGAACTCATATTTAAATGGAATTAAAGAATCTTAACAGCTGATGCAACTAAACAATTTGATTCTGTGATGTTCAATAGCATTACAAAGTTAATAGGTTTACCAACAGGGTGCAGCACTATATTTATTTTTAATTTATGAGAACAGTTAATTTGCAACCAAAAGGTGAGTGAGCGTAGCGAACGAACTTCAACCTGGAGGCGAGTTAGCGTAGTGAACAAGCTAACCTGAAGGCAAGTGAGCGCAGCGAACGAGCTCCAACCTAAAGGTGAGTGAGCGTAGCGAACGAACTTCAACCAGGACGTGATTGAGCCATGCGAACGAGCTCATCTTGAAAATGAACGAGCATGTGACATAAAACCACAATAGGACAGGACGACGTCTGTCGGGCCAGCTAGTTTGAAATAATAATGAATCATGTTTACCTTTAGGGCCAGTGACATAATTTATTTTAGTTTATGATCCATTCATGGTTGTAGGTAAAGAGATTTGGCCGAGATGCTTAACAAAACATTACTGAATAAGCTGATTTCTTGTTTGAAAGCACACAACTCACATAAGATCTCGCCAGCCCCGATGATCAGACCGACCAAAGGAACCAGCTGCTCAGAATTCTCCAGCTGTTTGGTAAATCCAACACAAGCTCCATACACCCCAGACATGAAGCAGATTTGAAGCCCTAATGGAAACAAAATACGAACAACTTTATTCCAAACCAACGTACAGTCTGCTTAGTGCCTTGGATTTTAAAATACTAGTGATCAGTTTTATGGTTTGATATTGTAGGTGAATGTTAATTACATAACTAGGCAGCTGCGTGGTTATAGTGCTCGTCTGGGTAGTGAAAAGTTTGCCGGTTAGAACATGAGAAAGGGTAGTAGCTTTTACAGGGTCCTGGCTAAGTAACAGCTGGTCTTGATCAGTAAAAGAATTACTCTGATCATCACACACCCCAGTTATTTTTAAATTAAGATATGCACCTAAGTGTGGGTCGCTGTCTTAAATCCCCAACAGCACAATGGGCTTGCTGGGAACTTGTTCCAAGTCCCCAGGCCTGGTTTAAACTCAGGGACCCAAGTCTATGGGCTTGCTTTAGAGACCGATGTTGGCAGTTTTTCAACCTGTTATGAGTTTGGCTCGCCAAGTCCCAACACCAAACCATCTATGTAATCCTCAGCCAATTGCAAAACACTAGTAAAATAACTCATTTATAAATGGATTCTAAAGTAGATTATCTACGTTATCATCTATTTGGCCTTATACTAACCCATGTAGACGAAAGATATAAACATTATCAACATGTATCTGGTGGAAGCGATTTCCCAAGTCTTCATCAGTGCTTGAAGAGGACTTCCGTGGTCTTCTTTAATCTTTTTTCCTTGGGTATCAACTGGTGAAGGTAACAACATAAAAGCCACAGTTCCAGCTATGGAAATAGCCAAGAGTGCGAGCAAAACAGTCGTTCTAGTCTCCTTGTCTAAATGATCCTTCCCTTCAAATGTCAGAAATGCAAATATGTTTCCGTAAAACATCCTGAAACATTATATTGTCTGTTATAAATTTTCAAAGTAATACTTTTTTGGATTAAGCTAAATCTTCGTTAAATACCTAAAAATTCAACACCAAGACACCAAAAAACTCAGGAACGAATTTACTTAAATAAATTAAAGATTGTGTAGTCTATTCATTATTATGTAAACATAGGGAAATCAAATGAGTTAACGACCAGCTGTGGATGCCTGATTACTTACGATGACTGCCAAATGACGTTGAAGATGGCCAAGTTGCGAGTGAGAGTGAGAGGGGATGATGTCAGTATCATGTAGTTACCCTGCGAAGTCCATATCATGGAGGCTCCCATACCACAACACAGGGAAGCTGCGTACAGCAACCAAGCATTCTCCAAGAAGAACGACCCTATAAACAGACTGTCAAAAATCAACTGGGTGCAACAAAGGTTGAATTTTAAAATCGTACAGGATGATATACTGTTGCGGATGCATATTGTTAGTAGAACATTGAAAATAAAAGTATTTTGGTAAATGTGGTCTTTTAATTGTTTTCTGAATACTGAACAGTGATTTGAGCTGTAAGGAAATTTATTATGTCAGAAACTGTTTGATTGTTCATTTCATACATGAAATGTTTATCTATTAATTCATAAAATGCTCATACATTATATTTTTTGTTCATAGCTTACAGTAAAAACTTTTTTTAAATATGTTTAGACTTGTTTAGGTTTGGTATGCATTATCTTTCATGCTAAAATATTTTACAAAGCCCTGGTACATCTTATGATGCCCAAGGTCCATCTATTATCCTCCTTGGAGTGCATGTCACCCTCCAACAGATTGTTCAATTGGATGATTGAAATTCACAATATTGACCTTTGAGGTTACAGCATATGTTATTGTCAAAGGGTCCTGTAGAACATTATTTTTCGCTAGACTACTGTGAAATTACCTGTTTTCGTTAGATGTTTATTGCCGGCGAAAATTCATCATTACATTGTTTACTACAGAAAAAGAATGTTTACTATGTAAAAGTAATGTTTACTATCTTTTTTTTCGATTTTGTTGATGTAAACTAACAAAGATTTGTTTTTGTTGTAAAAACCGTGTGGCAAAGTAATAAGGCTTTCTGTACTATAATCTGTGCAAGGAGCCCACTTTTGTTAGGTTACTGTAGGAAAATATAATTTTAGATACTAGTGCAGCCTGTGACTGGCTCAAACAACTATGTTCTTTATATGTAAAAAATTGGCAACAACTAGTTTATACATAGATACATGGGATTTCTACTTCAGAATCCAAAAGTTAATGGTTATATTAATTTTTTTAGTTATTCGTTGTAAAGACGTATGGTGGTTTGGTAATCATTTTTTCGTTAGAACTCGAAGGGAAGGAAGTTGAATAAGTTATGTTTCTTTCTCTACCTGTAGCCTACAGAGCCGATGATAAGTGTCATCTTGGGTCCGATGACACTGATGATGGATGGAACCATCCACATAAACACTGCGAATGTAGAGTACAGAACGGCCAAACTGATGTATCCATCTCCCGTGAAGCTGGGGTCCTCTAGCTGAGTTGACTGAAGAAATAGTTTCTGAAAATAATAAAATTGGTAAGTAAAATAGGTAGATAAAACAGATCAATAAGAATATAGATTTTAAGAAGTGTTTTTTTAGGATAGCAAACTTACCTTAATATAAACTAGACATCCCATCTATGGACCAGCTGTGGCCACTTTTTTTTAAAAGAACGTAGTTGTGTGAGCCAGTCACAGAATGCGCTATTGTCTAAAATTCTATTTCATACCTTATTTTTTATTGCTAACGAGGTTGATGGGTCATAAACAGTTGCTATAGCTCACCATAAGTCATTCCCTAAGTTTGATTTGATAAAAAAGTTTAGTGTATTCGACTGAATTTAGTAATTTACATCAGCGCAATCTGTCGGTGGCTCACATCAACTACGACGATTTTGTTAATAAACCTGGCTACAAATTAAACATGGGGATGGAATGTCTAAAAGAGCCACTCCTAGCACAAGAAACATAAAAAAACATAACCATTAAATCATCATAATTCGAATATATCAATGGCACTCACACTCCCAAACAAAGACATTTTGCTTTCAATGAGAAAGAAAGATATTTTCGGAGGATAAAAGTACTGTTTGGACCGGAAGATCCATCTTTCTAACTTAAAAATTTCTAGCATGAAAATCCTAGCAGTTACACTGCAATGTTCTAATTATTTTGCGGTTTTTTCTTTGACAGTATGGAATGGACTCTTTACATTAAGTTGTCTGAATGGAATTCATGTAAATCAAACAACAATACTGAGTTTTAATTCTTCAGTAGCCTAAGTAAAAAAAAATGATTGATATTGGATATTGCAAGCAGACTTCTCGTCCCTAATGTAAAATCTTAATCTTGTTTTGGTGTTTGTTTCACGTGCAGTTATGTTTGAGTGTGCTGATGTCTACTATTATTCTCTTATGACAGAGTAAATTTTATAAATTACTATACGAGTTTTACTCTCTCAGCAATAATGCAAAAGAAAGAGCAACATTTTACAGCTAGGGTTGGACCGTTCCCTTATAAAAAACTCAATCTAGGTAACAAAAAAAATGCCACTGGGTTAAAACACAAACATATAAATATAAAAAATTGTTTTTTTAGTTGTTATAGTACATAGTTGGTGAAATAACAGAAAATATAATAGAACATCAACATGCACTCTAACATACTGGGTGTTCAAAAAGTCTGACAACGTCTTAAGAGTTTTCTTATTAATTACTCAAGAACTAAAACTAAGAACTAAAGTAGTTACTGACTTTTTTGGTCATTCAAACCGTATTATTTCGCTCTTGGCGGACGTCCTGTGGAGGAAGTCTCAAAAATCTTAAATGTAAGCATAGGTCGTATTATATAGGCCTACCTTATTTAAAGGTCTTTAATAGAGAAACACATTGCCTCAAACCCGACTGGAAAAGGACAATTCGTTTGGAAATAGCAGCCTCTCAAAGTTTGTTAACTTTAACATAGCGGAGATTAAGAGACAGAAGTGAATACTCAACCATGTTGGTTATGATAGAGTTTTAACTTAGATAACTTCACAGCTGGAGTGTAGAGGGAACGAAATATCACTAATGGTCGATTTAATTGTTAAAAAACACGTTAATTAATTAAATAAATACTAAGGCGTAACCAGTCTTTTTGAACACCCGGTATATCGGACATCATCCAAATATCTTTTAGTTAGGTAATTTGGTAATACAAAGGATGACAAATATTTATAATGGTCCATATGCTACAATTCACTAAGAATTGGGTTTAACCAAGATAACATATGGCACAGTTTATATGATTAGAGAGCTGTAAAACATCTGATACCATAAAACCATAAACTTTGATCATTTTGTTCAGCACATTGTCAGCTATACCCAACTGATTATTTAACAATGTCAACCAAGCCAAATTGGTTGAAAAACATCTGTTCCATTACTTAAACACACTGTGCAATATTTTTAGCGAATTTCCCTATAGGAAAGTATTAGCGAATTTCCCTATAGGAAAGTAGCTATTACCGTAGGTCTCATGGTAAGACTTAAGCCCGGGACCGATTTACTTTTTCATTTTGATGTCCCCAGAGTCCAAAAACACCATTCGTTCAAATTTTTATATATGTATATATATATATATATATATAGACTTATATATATATATATATATATATATACGTCCGTGAACGCGATAACTTGAGTAATTTTTGTCCGATTTTGATGAAATTTGGTTTAAAGGTGTAAAGCGGAATAAACTTGAATGAGTTCGCGAACCAGCATGATTGGACCATGGGAACGGGGCTTTACGGGGGGTTTTATGGGGTAAAAATTGGTTTTTCTCACTTTTGACCCTCAAAACACAAAATTTCCCAATTTCTCTTTAGACCTTTTTAAAGAGCTTAAAAAAACAATTAATTTAGTATATAAAAGTATTTTTGTTCGGTTAATAGTAACGGAGAAAATTAAAAAAATTGTAAATTTAAAATTCCCATGTTATTCTTATGGAGAATATTGTCAAATGTTGTAGTTTGCTTGTTTATGGATATATTTTGTATTTTGATCAAATTTATTTATTTTGTACTAAGCTATCAATATTTTACAAAAACACACTTTATTAGTTTCCTTGTAGCAGCAAACCTAGGTACTCGTTAAACCTAATGTTATTAATATATTTAATTGAAAATCAATTAAGACAAATGGAAATTCGCTTAGTCGGCAGGTTTGCTGCGGCGGGGGTATTTTTTATTTCGAGCAGAACATGAATCACTAAGTCAAATGGTAAGATAACCTTGTGTCAACAAAATAGCATAGATATAACACTCGCCTTTGGCTCGCTGGGGGCTCTGCCCCCAGCCCCCATTGTAGGGTGGTGGCTTATTGGATTACTTACTACAATCTTGGTAAATTTCAAGTCTCAGATTAAACATACCAAATTAATAGGCCTACACTTTTGAGATTTTCCCCATAAAAATAAATTAGGGGGTATTAGAAACTTCAGGAGGGGGAGGGGGTGAAAGGTGACCTCAAGGTATATAAGAATTTAGATTTCTGATATAAGCCTTTAAATTACATACTAAGTTGTGTATACTAAGTCGCTTATATTTTGTATACCAACAAAAGAAATACTGGAGGCTGTTGCATAATCAATATGCAAACTTACAAAACAAATCTTCATTTATACATCACACTCTTTTCACCAATACATTTCTCATATCTCCCCTTTAAAATATTTTTTTACCATATTCCTGATTGTTTTAACCCTCATATAAATAGACCAACTGTCAGTAACCGACAGACATTTGTTCTACCTATTTGTTTAACCAGAAGTGTATATGATTATAAAATTTCCTATTTGAAGTATATGTGTGATACGATGAAATTACAATAGTAAACTGGACTTTTAACCGTTTCACAGCCAGCGGGTACTCTCACAATTACATGTACATGTGATTATTTGTATTTTATACATGCTGCTATATTTAGTCAATGTAAAATTATAAAAAATTATTTCATTATTTTAATGACACTCTGATAAAAAATCTGTTTCAATACACTAATACAGCAAACATAACAGCAATATAATGGTCTCATTAAGAACATTCATAGTTCGTTATAAAAGTTGTAACAATGACATCTAAAGTGAACAAGTGAGGTCATTTGTAATCTTTAATAGTGACTTATCTTCAGAGTCGTGAAAATGCTTTATCCAAGGTTTATTAGTAGAGGTAAATGCGTCTATTGTAACATATTTTCTTACTAACTATGTAAACATGCTATTAACCTAAACAGTGCCGTTCTTGGGGGGGGGGGGTGAGTGGGATTACTGTCCAGGGAATTTAGATCTAGATCTTTGAAAAGTAAAAGGGTATTATTATTTTTACCTTGGAATTTACCTTGCATTCTGTAATGTGCAATTTGCTCATGGGTCCCCTTGTTATTTTATTATTTTGACACGGTACATATTGCAGATTTTTAACTCTCTATGTGAGTACAAAGTGAATATAAAATGGAGTGAGATGATCCGTCTATTTTACTGATCCAGCTGATTTTTAGCCAGAACTATTTATTTACCCAATGATCAAGGACAACTGGGTCCAGTTTTAAGCCATTAAAAAGCTATTGGCTTTTCTAAGGATCAAACCGGTGACATTTATAATGTCAGGAACTAACCACTGAGCTGCTAAGCTATTATTTGCCACTTAGCACACCAGAGGTAACTATGAGACTCTGTTCATGATGTTTGTTGGTCATTGTGGAAAATAAAAAATAGTTGAGAATGGCATTTTGTACTTTTTGAGTGGGTTTCAGCAACACGTTTTTTTTTTTATTTTAATTTTACTGAAGTTAATCTAGATTGATTAGTAAAAGGAAAACTGATTGTTGATTTAGGGTTTGCACGAGATTTTTGGATTTTTTTTTCATTCTACTCAAAATTCAATGCTGATTCCAAAGATGTTCTTTTCCTGCGGAAAACTACCATAACCCCGAAAAACGACTAAAAAACCTTTTTTACCAAAATATGTCATGTGGGTACTGGACTCGAATTAATCGGAATAACAAGCATATTACGAATGGCAAGAACGACCCTACGTCAAATAAGCGATATAGACGAAATTTTGCGGTGCGTATGGAAATAGTTCCTCAAGTATACAACAATAGTTCCATGGACTTAGGTAATTTCAACCAGTTCTATTACTTGCCCTTGACAGAGGTCTTTTGACAGTAGATTTGCTCATGTTACTGCATAATTATCAGGTAAACTTAGTAGTCTAATTGAGGAAACAATGCCAGTACGAAATCGTACATAAACTACTGAAAATGTAAAGTGGAATGAAAAATGAACATTTCGCTTACTCCAAATTGATTAGACATGTTTTCAAAGAAAATTTAAAATTATTATAGTTAAAATTTCAGATTTAATATTTATTTGTATTTTGTTAGATTGAATATCTATATAATTAATACGCGACATGAATCTTTGTCGGTTGAACTCCTCCGCCATTTCTTAACCGATTTTATCCATTGACGTCTCATTGAAAAGAGCGTGTCGCGTAGATTTGCAAACTGGCCTTACATTTTTGAAAAAGTTCCTTGGCTCTGCCCCAGTGGCTTCGAAAGTTCCCATGTTATCCTTATGCAGAACATAATTGTTTACATTCTGATCAGCTGTATAATATTATTGCAGTACATTTATTTACTATTTGAGTTTGTGTAAACATATCCCCCAAGACGGATCGTGTTAGTATGGCTGTATCTTAAATTTGTGCATTTATCGTGGTTTTGTGTAGCTATAATTTGTTTATTTGTTTCTTTCTTTTAAATTCCTCCGACGCGACAACAACGAAACATGGACAGGAGGCGTAGTAACTCATCACAGTCAGCACCTGACCCTGGACAATCTCAACTACCTATTAGGTTACCAATGCTCACTAACACTACCCCAAAACGAATTTTCGTTCTCAATTGGCCCTCTATCAATGACCTGTATTGCCTGTACAGCGAGGCATTTTGAGAAGGAGAAAACCGACCGGAATGCTTTAGGTTTATCAATAAAAAAGATAAACATGGACAACCTTATTTGGCTATAAGTCAGGAAATGTTTGTAGAAAACATTAAAAAGCAATACCAGGTTACGAAATATGATCAAATATTTACAGGAAATGTTTATTACCGTTATATACATCGTGAATTTCTCCATGAGTTACACACCGATAACAATGAATACACATTGTGTATTCATTGCCGATAATCTTTGAGTTGACTCTTAAAAACTCATTGTAAATATGACCTGTGCAATTCGTTTTGAAATAACTCCTGCAATACTTTGCAATTGCTCGAATTCGAGCAACATGTACACTAGTTATCTTTATTTGTCATTCAATGTAAATGATTAAATACTTCTAAGCCAATAAATTAAAAATTTTAAGAAAATGCAGCCAAAAACTGTTTGGAAACATTATTATACAATATAAACTGTTCTTTAGCTGCTGGTGTAAATAAACAAAGGTAATAAATTTGCCCTTAGCCTACAATATTTTATCTATGATTTTAATGTGCCTTAAATTTGTACTTGATCTTGGACAATTTAGTTTAAATTGAGGTTTTAGCTTATTCATTTATGAAGGAATTAAAAAAAGTTAGGTCCTACCTAACTGGTTAGGTATCAGATAAACTTTAATGCAGAGTATGAAATTTTTGTTTTCATAGAATGAATTATAAAATAAAGTCTCCTTTATTAGGAGTTAGAGTTATTTAAGGCTGTTGAATAAAACAATATTAAACTTGCTTTTTTAACAGTGAAATTACAGTTGCCATGTTATAGTCTACCAAATGCAAATGTATCTACACTGAAACATTAGATTTAGTTCTGCTAGAAAACTAGATAACACTTGTTAAATGCCATGCTTTGTTTACATTGTTAATACATCTGACATCAATTTGTTCAAACTGCGAGTGTATACTTGACATATTTTATATTTAGAATTTTAAAGTGGTTCTTACAACAAACTTTTTCAGCCATTGAACTCATAAAACATTGAACGGAAACATGTTTAGATGTCAACATGAAAGGAAAACCAGAGCATCATTTGAATTGCAATTAATTAATTTCGAGTACCTATAGCCAATACAAATTGCTGTACTAGTGGAAAAAAATGTTGTTTTGGTTAGATGTTTGATCAGTAAACACATGTATATTTACGTAGAAATAAATTTGACGTTTGGGTTGCTGAAATTTTTGGTTTTTAACTTAGGCAGCATTTTAATAAAACACTCGAGAAAAAAAGCTCAGTGCAAAAAAATTTGAATAAGATTGGTGAAAGGTATAGACTAAGTTCTATAAGTCCACACTCAATTAAACTGGAATTTATTGAATATTTTTGGGTAATCTAAGTTAAGATAAAATTTTAAAAGGACACAACATATTTTCAGATGTTTGTTTAATGCATGCGGAAACCTTAGTTTCTGCCACCAGCCCCCTAAAGGTGAAGTTGTATTTTTCTATTCCATTTTTCAAAATACAGTAGCTATTTTACTTAATGATACTTTTCATTTGCTGTATTTTAGCTATACTTTTACCAAGTCATAATGTATTAACTATTAATAAACTTATGTAAAGTTATTGATTTTAATCAATTTAACAGGTGCAATATCACTCAAATATTCTACACTCTTGGTTCATTTACATGAGTTAAATAGATAAATAATAAAAAACTGACAGAAGAAATGACTAATGCTAATTCAATGACAAAGATGTTCCTATTAATCAACTGGCATGTTAAAATAAAACAACTAACTTCTATGTTTTAAACTATGTTATTCTATGTTTTAAGAAATATAATAATTCTTAAGGGGATTTCTCAATAACGTAACAGGAAAAAGATTATTCAAATTATATTTTGAAAAACGGTATTGCAGTTGGCCCACATAGTGAACGAAACCAAGCATAACAAAGTTAATTGTTTCTACACAATTATTGCAAAGGAACTTAATCAATTGACGATAACCCTTGATTTCATCTTTGCACATCAGTGTCAATGAACTTTTAGGAAAATACAGTAATACATCCTAGACAGAGTAGGTCATGTGGTACAGAAATATACACATTACAGTATCCTTTTCATTCTTTTAAATCTTTAACCTATGTTTATGTTTATGTTTTTGTTGTCTTAGTTCATGATTCCCTTGAAGATCCTCCTTAATTTTTAAAACCTAGGGAAAGCTTCAACTTTCTTAATTGCTATAACTGAAATAGTATAATTGCAAAACATCTCAACTTTAGTAGCAACAAACTACATACAAGTATTTACACATTGTTTTACCACTGTTACATGCCAGCGTTTGTATAAACTTTTTAATCAAATATAACAGTAGTATTCTTGACGCCTTTTGTTAAATTAGTTTCCACTATTATAAAAAAAGTTGAATGATTTTAATTTAAAGTGGACAAGTGATAACAAAGCAAAAATTAAATTTGAGTTTAATTCATACACAGTATACAAACACCAAATTGGATTTTTGGTGTTTTGAAATTATAACGATTTGCTGCTTTTAAATCATTATGCCTATCCCATTATTTAAAAGCCACAAATGCAAAAATTGTGGGAGTAGTCGCCTCAATGTACACCCTTAACTTCAGTACCTAATTTCATCCAATACAATAAAAGTGCTCTTTGAAGTTTACATTTGTTACGAATTATAAGTTATTTGAATTCATGTCCAAGTTTTATTACAGTAATTCCATTCTTTTGGTATCAACAGTATTTCCAAACAAACTGTTCAAAATCTTTCAATTTAGAACATACAATACAAAATATAAAAAAAACTAGAGTAACTTTTCATTTAATAACATCTGAAAAGGTTATTTTGAAGTACTGTATCTATATCCAAAAATATAAAACACTAGCTGTAACCCGCGGGCTTTGCCCCGTTTAACTTCTTAATTTTCAAGATTATCTCGTTCGCATGGCTCAATCACGTCCTGGTTGAAGTTTGTTCGCTACGCTCACTCACCTTTAGGTTGGAGCTCGTTCGTTACGCTCACTCACCTTTAGGTTGGAGCTCGTTCGCTGCGCTCACTTGCCTTCAGGTTAGCTCGTTCGCTACGCTAACTCGCCTCCAGGTTGAAGTTCGTTCGCTACGCTCACTCACCTTTTGGTTGCAAATTAGCTGTTGTCATAAATGTAAAAGAAATAATAGTGCTGCACCCTGTTGGTAATCCTTGTAACTTTAATGCGATTTAACATCATAGAACAGAACCAACTTGTTTAATTGAAACAGCTGTTAAGACTCAATAATTTCATTTCTCATAAGGGTAACATGAGAAACTCCAGAGCCACTGGGGCGGAGCCCGAAAGGATTTTTGAAATAAGAATATGCCTATATGTTAATCGGGAATGTGAGCTATCATCATGCCAAATTTCAGCCCAATCCGACCAGTATTTTTCGCGTTCACTTGTCACAAACATACATCCATACATCCATACATCCAAACTTTCTCATTTATAATATTAGTAGGATTATTTTTATTATTACATTTTTAACCTGTTTTACTACAAATTCAGTCCAATAAATAGTATAAGATATGTATCTATTAAAAATTTCATCTAATAATAGTATACAAATTATTTGTTTCAATACCTGCAACTAATTATAAAATTTATAATCATTACCATTATTATGAAACAAATTTTCGAATTTTTTAATGTTTACAATGCTGGAAAACTACGGTACTTGATGTAACTTTCATTAAATAATACAACTTATAAAATATGTTCACTACAATTTTCAAATCCAATAAAAACCACATGTTTTTCATACCTGATTCTTTTCCAAATTTATCTTCTATCAAAAAAATTAAATTGTATCTTATTTACCATTGACAAGACATAAATAACTTTACAAACAAACAATTTTCACTTGAAACACAACCTAAACATTTTCTCAAAATAAAAAATATTGATACATACCTCTAAATTAGAAATCGTGTAAAATCCAGAGAAAAGTATCATAAAACATATTCCCATGTAGGCACTCCGTACAGTTTCACTGTTTAGCAGACTTATAGTGTGAGCCATGTTGTGTGTGTGGTGTTACCTCTGTGTAAGCTAGGACAGTTGTGTCTGTCTGTCTGTCTGTGTGTCAGACCTTCTGTCCCATAGCCACAGACAAGTAATATTACTGTGTTCAGAGCCAAAGTTCCTCGGTTCTCACACTAGGCTCATCCATCAGTTAAATCTTTGTGTAAAATGAATACCAGTAATCTTTGTGTAAAATGAATACCTGTAACCTTGGGTATGATTTTCATGTCCTATTCACATATTTACTTTATGCCAGGATGAATAGCTCAGTTGACTCTGAAGTTTTGGTTTAGTGCCTTTATGATGGGGGTATTGGATTGAAACATAAAGATTTATTTCTCATTGAAAACAATTGTGTAAAAGTAAATGTTATCAGTGATAGTCTGAAGAAAGTGTGTTGTTTAAGAAGTAACAGTTAGTTTGACAACTTTAAACGAGATAATTTCTGCTAGAAATCAGTTTATTGTATTTTCCTGTAATAGTATAAATAGTTTAGTCATCTATTTGAAAATACAGCAATTTAACACTAATTTAAGAACAATACAAAAATATCATATACTTTTCAATTGATATTTATTAAATCGTTGTGAAATTTCTCTTTGAAATAAATTGAAAAAAAACTCTTTGCTGTCAAACTTCTGTCATAATAGCACAAAACAAGTGATTTTTAAAGCTTTGAACTTGAATGTCAAAAAGGTTTATGTTCATCTGCAGCATAAACAAATATATAATGTACAGTAAAAACGACTTTAAAATTTTAAAGAATTAAAAACAATTATTGATTGTGCATAGCACTACTTACACAGCTTATTATGGTTGATTATCATTTGATTGTTTTCGTGTACTTTGCACTTTGTTGCCCTAGTAACCTATGACTTACCTTTTTTATTACTTTAAGTTGCAGGGCAAATCAAATCCTGCCTACTGTATATAACTTGAATTGAGAAACAATTTTTCTCAAATGAGTTAATAGCGGATGATACTTCCCGTTTTTAACTTTCTCCCCCTATACATAGTATATTAAGAAAGTATTGTTTTCAGAAAGAATTTTAAGTTTTATATCTTTATTCCCCTGCACCCCCAAAAAATTGTTTTCCAAGTGTGTGTGTGTGTGTGTGTACAGAGCTATAACCACACCTGTGGTATCTCCAGGAATTTTATTTTTATTTTTTGAAACGGGGATTTAAATATATACTAAACATGCTTCAAATATTTAATTATTTTAAAAATTATAACTACACACCGTTTAAAAATAGAAAATTACTATTTTACTAATGATTTTGATCTTAAGGTAAAATACATTGGATCACATTAGTACATCCATAAAGAAATGATCACAAAGATATCCACAACTAGACTATCCAGAAATTTGCATTAAGAAAGTAACTTTGAGGGAGTAAGTTGAACTTTGAAAATTGTAGTAGGGACCTAATTGTTTCCCCTCCTTTACTTGGGTGAAATTAATTTAATTACAAAAAATATTGGGTATTTTCTGGTTCAAATTCTTATTGGGAACTGTTAAACCCAGAAACCCTGACCTCACTGATGCTATGTTGGTAGGAAACTGGTTTTAAACTGGTCATGACATCTCAAAGTTCAACCAACTGTTACTTCCTTAATGCAAATTTCGGGATAGTCTTGTTGCAGATTAGTTTGAGATAATTTTTTATAGAGTACTAATAAATATAACCCAGATGATTTTTTAATCTTAAATCAAAATTATTAGCACTTTTAAGTGCAAATGTAATTTTAAAATTACCTAAATATTTTATTGTATGTTTTATGACTATTAAATTCATCACTGTATTAGATCATTTGGTGTAGTAGTATGGTAAAAAAAGGCTAGATAACATTTACTCAATTGTGCAGAAACTTTTGTCAAATTATATATCATTTCTCGGTCACTCATTAGCCCTAAAATACAAACCCTGGTGTTTAGGTGTTGTTAAAATATCCCCAAGTATTCTTCTGATGCAGTTGAAACGGGACAGTGAATAATTCTTGCTAAGAAGGCGTTTTTAAGCAAATATATCAATTGCATTATTTTAATAAAAATTCCTAATGAAAAGTGATTTTTATTACCTGAAAAAAGACAATGTAAGTTCTGTATCATTGTAAAAAAGGGTCCCCATCATCTATATCACCAAACTCCCATGTTGATTTTCAGGACATAAACTCGCAAACTTCTGTGATATCAATAAGTTTCAAACCCTGCCTCATAAAAGTATTTTAACCAGATAAAATTTTGGGGGTTTAAAACGTAAAAATATAATATAAAATTTATATTATGCAAAAATTTCTCTAATGAGTCGATAAGAGGTTGGACATCTATTCTTTGACACTGCGGAAGTAAAAAACCGTAAAATAAACTATTACATAATCCAACTTATGTAACTTCCGTATTAAGTGGTTAACACTGGCCATCTAGGTCATTGCCAAGCCAGTGTTGGCAGGATGTTTTCTGACTTTGATCTTCAACTTCCTTTTTCGCCTTTCACATCAGAACATTATTAACGGCTAATCTCCCCTCACCCATTATCCAGCATCATTATCTGGAGTACTTACCAACCTTTCAAACAGCAATTTGGTGATTCAGGTTGTGTTGATTAAACATACTTCCATTATGGATTTTGTATCCTTCTATATCTTACAATTTTCAAGTGGGTTCCGGCTAGATTTTGCTGAGGTCCTGTGCTTTACGATAGTGCTTCTGATTATCTGTAAAGTTTTTAAACTATATAACTAAATAAAATTATCTAATAATGTAAAATTGTTTCTCTCAGGTATTACAACCAAATAATAGATCAGTAATTGGAAAACCGACTTAAAATAAAAGATAAATATTTACTGTAGTTATCATCACCACACTAAAATTTTAACAACATGAACATGAGTTTTCAAATTTGACAATATAGTACGAGAACTCCTGAACTATTTATAATGGTGTGTGGTTACAAACTCATATTACATTGACATACACCGCAAAACACAAGAAAACAGGTAAAAGATACTAGTTTTCCATACAGGAAAGATTACTACAAAAATTGAATTGAAAAAACCAAGTTGTTGGTGAAATTAAAATTTTAAAACAGTCAATTCTCACACAGAGCAGGATGTAGGAAGGTATTTCAACAATAGGTTGGAACAGCTGATAATTACAGATAAGAACTGCAATTAGGGTCAACAGCGCAATTGTGCAGAAACTACAAATTTAATACAGGGTTATGACTAATGCAAGATTTCATGCAATCCATTTACAACTAACATTCTAATTTAATTTTTAAGCATATTAGAAAATTAATTTTAATATGACATAGTACACTTACTACTAATCAAGTGGTAGTTATTTGATCTATAAATAAGTATATCCACATTTGATATGACGTCATGTAGGCTACATTTTTTTTTTTTTTTTTTTAGATTTTGGCTGCAATAAAGGAATGTTAGGTCCTAAAGTCTGTGAAAAAAAAAAACACAATTTAACGTACCAACAAATAAATAGATATTTTAAAGAAAAATAAATATGCACATGTAAGAGAGCTATATATTTAATTTCCCAAAGCTAGAGCAAACTGAATAAAAATTCAAGATAAACTTTACTGTAAAAATGACTAAATTAATTTGTCTTTGAAGTTCAAACCAAAATCGAGTTCAAGTAGCCTTCCATCATGGATCAAGTGTTGATTATGGTAAATTGTTCAAGCACCCACATTGTTGGCTCCATACAATATTGAACATTTAGATATTGAGATACAACCACACACGCAAGTCCCATAGATAACAATCATAAGATAGCCTCTTTGCGCAGCAGGATAGTTAGAAAGTGTGTCACAGCATATGGCACAGAGGTCTTCTAGTGATGCAATGCATCAATCATCACGTGATGGATAGTAACATGTTCATATATACTAATAGTGTGCAGTACTAGTGAGGTATTTATTTCCCATTCAAAGTTTACGAAACTGTGATTAAGTACCGGTACTCACATATAAACAACTAAAATCCTTATACAAAGTTCTAATATCATTTGGTAGCCTTACCAAATTTATGTGTTTTTTTAAAAGGATGTTTATAGTGTAAAGTGCCAAACCCCAGGATATGTTTTTCGCATGAAAATGATGAGAAATAAAAAGTGAAATTTTTTTGTATTTAAGAAACGATTTTGGTATCAAAAGAAAGCTTATAATGTCCTCTTAGGAGGCAATACTAATTTTTTTTCTTAACTCAAGGTAGTTTTCATTTAAATTGTTTTATCAAAGCATGTCGTAGAAATCACATTCTCCATAAGATAAACAAAATACCTCTTATTGGGACCGCAAAATTTGTGATTTAATATATAAAATATTGTGATAAAATATTTTGTTCTCCGTAAACTGAACTTTGTTGTAGTCCTCCAAATTTCCACTAGAATGCAGGACAATTCATTTTTTGGACTAAAGCCCGTTTATAAAGTGAATATTAAAAATGGGACCTCCTGTCATTATGGCGAAATAACATCGAGCGGCAAGAGACCTTTTCTCAGACCGTGCAGAGGCTAACAAAATTATTTATTTCAACCTTTTACATCTTTGATTCGATAATTTAAACGTTACTATCCTTTTCTATGTTAAATAAGGTATAACAATCGATAAAAAACCAAATTTTGATATTTTTGACCTTAATTAAGCCTACTTATATTGGCCGTACTGAAAATTTTGCATCGCCGAAAAGCGGTCCCTTTTCGCTTACCACATCACATTTATTAAAATAAAAATACCACTAATTTAAGACAACTGGGTCCAGTTTCGCACCATAAACTATGTTTAAAGATGCCTAACAACACTACTCTTTACTCACACTACACTTTACACTACTCGTATGTCAATTATTTTGAATGCTAACATTCGTACACACCTGTGTTAATTTCAAGGTGAAGATGAATGAATGAGATGACAGCATTGTTACTGACCAAGATCAGCTGGTTATTAACTGGGACCATTTATTAAGAGGCCCAATGATCAAGGACAGCTAGGTTTTGCTCTATAAACAACGTTCAATGACC